TGATACTGCCACCACTCAGCTCCTCCCCATCGAGGACGTGCCCACTTGAGCTCACTCTCGAATTCATACATTACTGCTCAAAAGCTGCGTACCGTTGGAACACGCGGCGTTAGTCAAGTTTGAATCGCATCGACCTACAGCTGCCAGTTCAGGTCGTTTACTCTCCGTCCCTCCCCCTCAGTGTTTATGATTTGTGAGGTTCGAGCTCCAGTCTTTGAGTCAGTCTTCAAGAATTCAAGGATGCAGCCAAGTGGTGGGCACCAGCAGCCCGAATTTAACTACGAGTACAGCAACCAGTACAGCCAGCAAACCGGTGGGGGCGACCGCCTGCCGGCCCCGAGTATGCGGCCGACGCTCGAGGCCCCTGCCAACTACCAGCAGTCGCAGCTACCACAGCAGTTCACACCGCAGCAAACGTATTACCAGCCTAACCGTACGCCCGTCGCCATCTCCCAGTTCCCCTATGCCGAATCTCCGATGGAACACAAGCCCATCGCGGCTTACCAACAGCCTACGGACTACCGCATTCAAACCGCGTCTGAGGTCCGTACAGGGCCCCCCATGCCAATGGAACGCATGTGCGATGTATGTCAGTACCCAGACCCTGTTCTCGTAGCTCCGAATTGTAATCACACCTTTCATTCGCGCTGCGTTCACGTGTGGCCGATGGACGCTTGTCCGGCCTGCGCGGCTCCTCTAGATCAGGTGGCGATCTTACCGTCCATTAACATGATGATGCCACTCGAACCACGCAGTGGTAAGTGGACTCGTCCCGAGGAGAAGTTCATTGATGGCATTCTCCGTGAGTTCGACCGACAGGCGTTGCCGCTGGCACACGGTACACCCATTCGACTGGTGCTAGCCAAAATGCTTAACTGTTCGACTATGCGATTGTCCAAGAAGTTCCAGAAGAATGCGCTGGGTAAACGAACATTTAGGGTGACAAAGCCCGGTAAGGGCGATAAGGCGCTGCAATTCGACCCAATGGACCACGCGCGGAGACAGCGCGAGCTTTCCAACTTGGAGCAGATCTTCCGACAGGAGCTGGTGGACCAATTCCGACGTGAGAACAACACGGATGATGGCGCTTTAGTCGAGACACAGAATTTGCGTCTCGCGGTTCAGCAGTTTTGGGTGAGCAACTTTTTGAAATTCGCGGTGCTAGTCGGCCAGCCCGTTATGGGGCTGGATATGTCCGATGCCAAGAAACGCAAACGCGCGATGCAACTACTCCGTAATGGACAATTCGATGAGCTATTGGCATGGAACCACCATCCGTCTCCAGCGAACACGGCCAGTATTACGCCAATGCCGTCAATTTTGGGATCGACGCCAGCTGACAACAACGTCGTCTCGGTGTCGTGGAGCTCCACCACCACGCCTTTGTATTCTTCCTCTATGCTGGGCCAAAACCAGCAGGAGACTGGACCGTCTATTCCAGCACTTCTACAGCACCCCGAGCAGCAGCCGCTGCGTCCCGTGAAGAAGATGCGCACGCCGGAGGCGAACGCGGAAGTGAACCGCTTTGGCCTCCAACCTCCGCCGATGGACCATTCTCAGTACCCACAATTCGGCCGCCTCTCGCCGCCGGCGTCATCAAGCTCCGCTTTTGATTACAGCCAGCAGCAACAACAGTACTCGTCTGAGCCGTATCTGCGTCCATCGAATTTTTCCGTCAAGTCGGACAAATCAGGAATGGGATATGCCAACGTGCTGCAACATCAGCAACAGCAGCAACTGCAAATGATCCCAGGCCTCGCAGCCCATGAAGGCGCCGGTCAGGAGCAAAGGGGTGGATTTACGCCAGCAGCCTTTCCACGAGCCAGTGAGCCTTATCACGCCAGTGCCTCGAGCCAGGCAGCGCCGTGGGACGATCTCTTGGAGAATATGTCTTCCGAGGCAAAAGCTGCATCAACTAGCCAGGCCCAGAGCGGCGGTACCAACGTGCAGTCCTGGCCCAACATGCACATGATGTGAAGAAGATTTCCGTCCCTGTCCAAAAGCTGTCCGAGAGACGTTTTCCGTGTTAGTGAACGGCGCGAAAGAAAGCGCCGCTAGTTGTGCAAAAAGTTTCGTGTTTTGTAGCGTGATGAAACCAAATTTGCGGTCATTAAATAAAATGGAAATGCAATCGTATTGCTTTCCGTTCGTCATCCAGATGCAACTTTTTTATAAGAAATTAAAATTTGGAGGCGATTCATGAGCTGACTCACCAAAAAAGGCAACAGCAGCAGCAGTTGTACCAATATTCGGGTACGCATCATTTTCACCTCACAAAATCAGCAACTTTTTGACGCCATGCTTCGCTGCGGAGTTGCGCCGCTACTGCGTGGGCGCTCGACGCGCTCCATGTCGTTGCTGAGCTCAATCTTCGGCATCGGCGAGTTCGAGGGCGCGCGCAACACGTCGCTGAACCGCAGCACGAGCAAGCAGCAGGCGTACGACCTGGCACTGCTAGACGTACGTACTTCCGTTTTGGTTATGTCATGGGATTTCTATAGTGTTTCTAACTAAGAGGCAGTATGTGAGCATGAACTCGCACCCCAAGTTCATGCTGCAGCAGATACTGGAAGATGACGCCCCGTTTCTCATGGGCCACGTGCTGGTAGGCACCAGCCAGTGCCTCGCTTCGCTCATGCACCAAGACGCGCTGGATGCAACGACCAGACTCCACGTTGCAACGAAAATTGTCCAACAAGGTGGCAATAAAAACGCTATAAATGCTTTTAGAAATGCTGCAATAGGACTGAAAGTGAGTGGAAATCTGCAGGAGAAACAACGGTGAGCGAGAAGATGCACGTGCAGGCGCTGGACGCGATGGTTCACGGTCGTCATCATGAGGCTGCTGCTGTGTACGAGACAATCTTGCTGCACGACCACAGAGACCTATTGGCGTTGCGCTGCTGCTATGATATTTACCTTTTCCTTGGGTAAGTCGGAGGTGATAGAGTATTAGAGTGGAACTTGGTGATTATTTAGTAACGTTGTGCTTTTAAGTGACTATAAAAACATGCTAGCAACAGTGACACGTAGACTGCCGTCTTGGTCGCCGAACGACAATGGGTACAGCCTTCTGCTAGGCATGCAGGCGTACGGAATGCAGGCTGCGGGGCGGCTGGATGCCGCGGAGGCCCTGGCGGAGAAGACGCTGTCCATGAATGGAAACGATCGTTGGGCCTGTAAGTGATGACTGTCAATACTGCTGGAGGTGTGCTAATAGTACTTGGTTGTCGCTGTGTTTGGTCGTAGTACACACCATGCTGCACGTGCTGGAAGCACGAGGCAACGCTAACCACGGAGCAAGCTACGCAAACCAACACAAGGAAGGCTTTGACAACGGTGGGCCACTGGAACGGCATCTGTATTTCCAGTGGGCGCTCTACATGCTGGATCTGGGACATTATGATCGCATCGACAAGATGCTAGAGGTCAATATTTTTCCCTACCACCCTGATGGTGCTCCTCACGCAGTATCCACGCTTTGCGACGCCACTCAGCTCTACTGGAGATTGCGCTTTGCAGGCCAAGATACGACAGAATTAGGCAACCAGCTTCTTCAAAACTGGTCTGCTGTGCTGTCACCTTCAGACTTGGAGACAAACGAAGTGTCGACAGCACGTCTGCACCCTCTTGCGAGGGTACTTCGATACGTAAGCATTCGATAGTGTGTATCATGCCAGTATTGCATCTAACGCATTTTTTTCTGCATGAGCAGAGTATTTTGGCATGCGTTCCGTCCGGCGCTACACCTTCAATAGAGATGCTGACTGCGGAGACTGCCGTTGACACTAACCGTCTAGAGACTCAACTGGGTGTGACTCCGCTCCAGTTCAGCTATCCTCCTACTCCAGGTAAATGTTGAATCGGAAGCACTGACAATTTTACAACGGGAACTCACAATTTCTATCAACATGTTCAAGGTGAGCTGGAAGAAGTATACAAGAGTGTTTGCCGAGGCTTTCAAGCGTATGCAGAGGTTCGTAACTGAATGGTGTTAAAGAAAATGAGAGTTCGTTTCTAACTCTTTGTTGTTATTTAGACGCGGTTTAAAGACGCAACTGAAGCTCTGTTGCCGGTGCGCGGAAAGCTTGGACTTCTTGGTGGGACAGATGTAGACCAAGACGTGGTAGAACAACTCCTCATCGAGTGGTACGACTACCTCTGTCTCACCTCCCAGAATAACTTAATAAGTTCTGTGTGTTATCGTGACAGTGCAAGCAAGTGCGATGACCTGAGGCTTGCCAAGCTTCTCCTCAACGAACGGTACAGGATCCGAAAAAAAAAGTAACTCGCTCTCGTGCTGGTATGTAAACTAACGTTTTTTGTGTACGTTTCTCTTGTGCAGACTGAGTGCAAGACCGCAGAGTGCACAATGCTGGAGCACCTTTTCACGCGTGTCGGCAGCGTCGGGAGATTCGTCTGCTGTGCGTGACGCACAGGGCATGAGCTACGTGCTGGGACTTGGTCAAGGTGGCAATCAGACGTACTAGATGGTGACCTATTGTGTCCGTTTTCCAAGTTTTGGCATTTTGGACAAGAAATGTCTTCTACAATCGGTCGAGTCGACCATAGACTGCATGTGTAGACAGGTGTTCGTGCAAATGTAGCCATATATTGGGTCTTTGTGCTGTACCAATTGATTGGTACATATGCGTTTCTAACTTTGAGATAACCGCGGGAAAAGTATGGCGTCTAAGCGAGTTTTGCGCGCCTGCAAGTTGCAGGGCCTTTCGCTCCATGCAGATGCGCTAAGGCGCCTCACTGAAGAGCTCAACAAGTGCGTATGCGTCTTGCAATATTGCTCGTCTAATTTATGCCACCAGTCGTCCAGTAGCGGCTTCAGACGATTCCCTCGATGATCTCTCGTTCCTCACTCACACAGTTTTCGCATTTGCGCTCAGTGAGGCATCATTACAGCTCGAAGATGTCATTTACGCCATCAAGAATAACATCGACCGCAGCAAAAGTGCGTACACACTTCAGAACATTTTCAAACACGCTTAAACTGACTGAAATCTACTACTTTTGCGTACTGCTCAGTGACGTCGTCTGTGGTGACGCTTGAGGCTCTGGAGAGCGCTTTGGACACTCTATTGGCCGTATCTGCTGAGAATGACTACGAGCAGATCCAAGTGTTTGGTGCCTTCGACACACCGCGACTACACTTCAACATGCACAACAACTCGTACGACCTGAGAGCAGATACCCACCGCCGTCTCCACGCTGGACCAGAGGCGAGAATCCAGCTCCTGAGGAACAGATTCATGTCGGTGGATCTCCGTGTCAAGCGGAATCGACTGTTTGCACCGCTATCAGCTGCAGTGGCAAACACCATCGAGTACATGGAGGTAGGGGGCTGAAATTACTGGTCTGGATACAAAATTTCTATGTTGATTCGAGTATTGTGTTGTGTAGCTATCGCGGATCGAATCACTACTGGGTGTGAGTGGAGTACGACGCGTCATTGGCATGTTGGGGCAGGATGAACGCAAGAGATTTTACTTGGAAGACTTCACGTCGCGGATCATTATCGACCTGACCAATGCAGCATACACGGACGGTCTCTTTACGATCAATTGTGTTGTATTAGTGGAAGGTGAAGTCATTGATGACGTGCTTCATGTTCAGGTACGGATTTTAAGACGAGAATTGGCCTTGACTTTGTAATTAATGATGTTGATGGCGTCTAGTCGATGGGGTTCCCTCCTCCAGAGACCAAAGAAGCGTCTTTGGAAGTCTTGGGAGGCATTGACCCGCTGGGTGTGGAGGTGTCAGCGCAGCAACGGGAACAGATCCGAGAACTGGAAGCCAGCGACCATCACGCCGCGTTCATTGTGTTGTCGGACGTTCATCTGGACGATCCTCTAGTCATGAGCAAGCTGGATGAGCTTTTCCAAGGTCTAGAGAGTGTGCAGCCCACGCTTTTCATCCTCATGGGTGACTTCATGTCCACGTCGATTGGGGGAGGTGCAGGATCCAACTCGTTGCAAGATTTGCGTGAGTACTTGGAGGAGCTCGGGAGTCTCATTCTGAAGTACCCTGGCATCGCTGAAAACTCACGCTTCATCCTGGTACCGGGACCGAACGACCCGGGATCGTCGCGTGCATTCCCGCGCCACCCTGTAAGAACGATAGAAACTGATTGAGTATGTTGTCGAAAAGCTAATACTGTATGCTTATTGTGACTAGCTACCTGATCTGTGCACTCGCGAACTCATCCGCAAGGTTCCGAACGTCACTTGCAGCACCAATCCATGCCGGATCCGCTACTACACGCAGGACATTGTGATCTTCCGCGATGATCTCCAACAAAAGATGCAACGACATGCTATCCTGCCACCGACGCCAAGTGAACAAGGAGAAGCGATGGACGAAGATGGTGAAACGGTCCACTCTGTCTCTCAAACGGATATCTCCAAGCATGTACGGTGCAGTGCTGTTCATTATAAGGTCGTTGAGATTTTGGTGCTGACTTTATTTTTTTTTCAGCTGGCCAAGACTGTAATCGACCAAGCGCATTTGTGTCCGCTGCCACTGATGGCGAACCCGATCAATTGGGACTTTGATTCGTCGCTTCAGCTCTTCCCCGCTCCAGATGTGCTCATCTTGGGCGACTCGACCGAGCAATACCAGCTTGGATACTCGTCCATTGGTGTCTTCCATCCTGGGCCATTCCATGCTGACTACTCGTTCGTGTTCTACCGTCCAAGCACCAACACGACCGAGTTTAGTCGCGTCGAATAAGTTCGTCAGGAATAAGATACTTCTTTCAGGGCACGAAGTATGCAGATAGTTTTCCTGAAGGTCTTGGGCTACTTTTTAGAGGACTTTAGAGGATACTTGCTAGGTATTATAGTCAGAATTACGTGATATTTTAACCTCCTCTGTGACATTTTTCTTCACAAATTTGAAGAGCAGCTTGCGTTTACCCACGTTTTAGTCCATTTTTAGAATTAGGGCTAGGTAATTACTTTTACTTTTATTAAATACTATCGATGTCACAGCGGTATTGAGACCTCGATCAATACGCAGGATGAGGCGCCGCCACCACCGGCAGTTCGGCCTGCCGAACGCTAACCAGATCCTGCTGTGCATGGCTGTCTGCACGTTTCTCTTCTTTGCGCTACTGCGGCGTCATTGGCTGGAGTTTAGCGGAGACCCGGAGGTTCATGCGTCGCTAAAGCGGGTCTACGTTGTGGGTGGAGGGTCTACAGACTCCAAGTCGTGGGATAAGTTCTGCTCTGACGACTCGTTCGAGATGAACGTGTAAGGACCTAGTTTGTATTGTTATTGGTACTTGTCGAGTTTTGGATGGCGCTCTGAATTTTTCGTGAATACTTCGTGACATTTGGTAGCCCCGGGACGAATCTGACCACGACAGTCGTGGACATGCAGGATGGAGCGGTGCTTTGTCATCGTCATAGTGGGGAGCTGATACCTACGCTGATGATTTGGATATTATCGGTGGCACTCGGTTGCGCTCTGCTGGGTACACTGTTCGCGGTGTACCTGCAACTGGGTAATCCGACGAGAGAGAGGATCTTCTGGATCGGGATGATGCCTGGCATTTTGCTGTTCGTCGCTGGTACGGTGTATTGCAACTGACGTTGCATGTATCAGTCTTCTAGCAGGTTAAGTCATGGTTATGTAATGCAGGGGTCCTGTGCTCTGCCTCGTTGCTTTTGTGGCAAAGGTATTACCTTCGCTTCGACAATGGAGACTGCTTTACTATCACGGTAGCTGCTACTGTTATTGCGTTGGCGGTGGCGATCTCAATGGTTATTCGATGGCGTTGGGTACGTCCGTCAACGATACCGCTTTTTTTTTGTTGCTGTTTTTAATCATTATGCAACCATATTGCAGCCGGGAATCTGCGCTGTGCTGAATGAGCAACAAGCTTTAGGCTCGCGTTCTTACGGTGATCATTTACCACGTCGTCGTGGTCGTCGACAGGGCCCTACTGCCACCGCCGCTACTATAACCACTACACCGGCACATGATCTCGAGGCTGCGGCAGTTCCACTGAATCGTTGAGATGTTAGACAAAATATTTATGAGATCAAATGGACGTACAATTATCCCGTGACTTGCTTCCTTAAAAGCCATCGGGTAATAGTCTAAGCTCAGCAGAGCTGCGCAAGTTCATCTTAGTCGCTTTCATCACCGCTGTCGGCCTTCAGCTTGCTCAACACACGACGAGTGTACTCGCCAATGATCTTGGCGTCGGCAGACCCACTGCGTAGATACTCCGCCTGCGTCTCAGGACGCGAGTGCACCTCGAGCAGGTACAGCAGTGTCCGTTCAGCAGGCAGCTTCACCGCCATGTTGTTGCTCTTAATAAGCTGGAAGACAGCGGGCACAAGCGCTGTCAAATGCTGACGCGTCTGCTCTGGTGAGCGCTTCCCAGCCAGCTTCACGACGCGCAAAGCACCACGAATCACGTCCTTGTTCTTGTGCGCCACACCCTCCACCAACACCGGCACCAAAGCGGTAACATTGTCCACGTGCTCCTGGCGCTTCACCACCGCACCAATAGCAGTAAGTGCATGGTTACGCACCGCAGTCTGTTCGTCCTGTGCCAGCGCAACTAGCATTGTTGTCAATGGAGCTGTGACGTCTGCACTCAGCAAAGCCGAATGTTTGTGCAGCACCAAAGCAGTAAACAGAGCAGCACTCTGGCGACGCTGCCACGGCTGAGCCTGTAGGTCATCTGCAGACATATTAGCCAAACTGTAGTCGAGCAGCTGCTTCTGGGCTGTCTCCAAGTCGCCATTGTTCGCAGTCGACGCCACACAGCAAGCCAGACACTTGCTAGCACCGTCACGAAGAGCATCTTCACTTGACTCAAGCATCTCCTCGAGCGCACTCTCCAAAGTACTGCGACCTGCAGCCGACAACTTGTCACCCACACGGTCCACCACAGACGCAACAGCCTCGAGGTTGGCCTCACGCACACCGCCACTCGTGGTGCGCAAGCGTTCCGTAAGCTCTGCAAGAAGAGGCTCCACACGGGGACTCAACGTAACAAGCAGACTCAATGCCGATGCACCATGAGCACGCACGTCCAAGGCAGTGTCGTTCAAAGCCTTGACGAATGTAGTCTGCAGCTGAGGCAAGAAGGGCTTGAGTGCCACTCCACCCTTCGTCAGGATGATCTCCAGAGTCTGCAGGATAGCAGCCTTCACGTGACCCGGGAAACGGTCACCAGCAATACGAATGAGCGGACCTGTGAGCTTGATCAAGTACGGACGGAGAGCAGGCGCGCTACTCAACTCCACAAGCTCTCCCAGACCAGCAGCCGCACTCTGACGTAGCTCTAGAGATCCATTCATCAGAGCCCACTGGTAGCTAGGCAAGAACGGCTCAAGGCCCTTCGGAATGCAGAGACCCGGCAGCAAGTACTCGCCGTCGCCCACTCCACCCTTGCGATGACGCGCATCGCTGACCATCGAGTTGATAGACTGGCGGATGAAGTCCAAGTGCTGCGCAAACTGCTCCGGTTTGATCGTCACATTCATACCCTTGAGCGCCGCAGAAGCTGCACGAACCACCGCGTCGGTCTGGTCGTTCAAGTGCAACACAATCTGCTTAAGGAACAGCGGCGCCTGGTCGTCGTACGGCACAGTCGCGTGCGAGCAGAACTCGGCTACAAGTTCGAACGCCAAAGCACGGTCGAGTGCGTTCTCGCTTTCGCAGTATTTGCAAATCTCGATGGCTAGCCAATGGACGCCTGGTGCTTCCACTCCAAGCACCACATCACGCAACGAACGCTTGATTTCCTCTGCAAGTTCAGCATCCGAGTCGCCCTCCTTCAGCTCAACATACTGCGAGAAGAAGGTAGCGAAGATCTTTTCCACTTGAAAGTGGATAACGGCACCCGTAGCCTGAGCCACACGAGACACCGCACGTGCTGCCGATGCCGTCACGGGCGTAACCAATAGACGTGGAATCAGATATGGAAGCACTTCGCGCGACTTGACACGCAGAATCTCTTGCAGTCCAAGCAGAGCTCGCACCTGCTCCTCTGCGGAAGGGGAAGAGCGAATACGCTCTAACACCATCGGGACAGTCTCATCGATAGCACGGTAGCCGATGCCCTTGTGCAGCACGTTGAATGCATGAGCAGCAGAGGCACGAACCTCTGCAAGTTCATCGCAGACACCGTCCAAAACGGCATCAACGAGCGTATCCACGTAATCCTCGATCTGTTTCTTCGTGCAGCAATCGATCACTTCAGCCAGACCGATACAAGCACCCTGTCGACGACCAGTAGGAAGGGATGGCGACAAACCAGCACGCAGAATAGGCACCACTTCGGGCAGCACATGCTCGCCCAACTTTCGCACAATTTCACCAAGCGTACGGCCAGCCATGGTCTGCTTCTCCATGTTGTCTCCCGAAAGCGCAGACACAATGGCGTTCATCAGAGCCTCCAGGATCTGGCGCAGCGTCTTGGGTGTGTTGGCGACCACACTCTTCCAGACCTGCAAAGCGCTCTGGCGCACCACAGCAGACGTGTCCGAACGGATCATGTACAGCGACGCCAAGATCGCATTGCGACGCTGAATACCAAGCAGCTTGATGATGGCACGGTCGCCTGCAGCGCTGCCCGAAGTCTCGTCGTCGTCATCGTCGTTGTCTTCGCTGACGACAGCAACTGCACGGGTGCCGCTGATGCGGTACATCAGATCACCCAGCAGCATGACCGAACTCTGACGGATACGCCAGCTATCATCAAATAGACCAGCCTCCAGACTCGGCAACAAGTCGCGGGTATGCGATAGAGCGTGTGCGTTCACCACGACGTGACCAGAGTGCATGGCAACATCACGCACCGACTCGGCTTCGTCGCTGAGTCCTGCCACCACGATAGGCAGTGCTTCGCGAAGGAACATAGAGAACTGCTTACCAAGAGCAGGCGGCAGGAATGCCATAACCCAAAGCACACCTTCACGCACAGAGTACTTCGGGTGACGAGCAAGCGGCAGGATGTCGTCACGCATGACGCGCTCCACACGCTCAACACCCAGGGCAACCACGACTTCACACAGACCTTGTGCAGCACCCGAGCGTTCGACGGGGCCAACTTCGTCGTCCTTCATGGCCTCGAGGAGCCACGTCAGCATATCAGTGAAGTGACGCTCACCAAGACCCTTGACCAGCTTACCCAGAGCCTTGGCGGCCACCGCACGCACCTCTGGAATGGGGTCCACAAGCTGAGTCTTCAGGCTGGGCAGGACTGTCTCCATGTAAGGCACCAGGTCCTTCGCATCGTTGATCATGCTACACATACTGCCCACAATAAGAGCAGCCTTCTTCTTGGCGTCACCAGCACGGTCCTTCAGGCCACGGGTGATGATTGGCATCACTAGAGCAAGCGACGGCGCGTCAATCGAGTGCTGGAACGACGTCGACTGCAGCTGCTGCAGAGCTTCGGCCGTGTATCGGTTAGGGTCCTCAAGAGCATCCAACAACACCTTCGAGATGGTAGCAATCTCAGGATTGCGCACCACAGAACCTACATCACGCAGGGCGCTCTTACCAGCTTCGCGGACCTTTGGGTGCGAGTCAGTCAGAGCTGCCATCAGCTTGGGGACCACCTGAGGCAGACAGGAGCCTAGCTGTCGCGGAGCACAGTACGCCATCGAGCCCAGGATCTGAATACCAGACTGCTTCGTACGCCAAGCACTTTCTTCCAGTGCTCCCAGCAGCGACGGCAACACTAACTTCACACCGTGCGCCGACAAGTTCGCCATGATACCCTTAGCAGTGTGACTGGCAGCCTCACGCACTTGCGGACTAGCGTCGGCCGAGCACTTGAGCATAACAGGCAAGATCACAATGATGTACGGCTCGAACAATAGCCCAAGACGCTGACTCAAGCACTCAAACACAAGCATAGCACCTTGACGAGCATTGGCGCCACCAGTCTTCATCGATTCTTCAAGACGCGGGATGATGCTGTGGATTTTGAGAGCAGAGATACCAAGTCCCTTGACCACAGCCGAAACACCGTAGGCAGCCCCCATACGTTCACCGAAAGTTTCGCCTTCAGTCGCGCGCTTCAGCAGATCATCCAAGATGCTCGTGCTGCGGTCCTTGACAGTTCTCATAAGCGGTGACAAACACATAGCCACCGAACGCTGTACGGACTCAGACGGAATCTCAAGGGCTTCAATCAGCGAGTCCACAATGGAGGACACCTTAGGATCCGTCGGAGCCATGTGCTTGGCCAAGGAGCCCAAGCAGACCACGACACCTTCACGCTGGTGATCGTAGATGGATAGCGCTTGCTTGCTCTGCTGGAGCATATCCTCTTCCTGAGCAGCAAGGTGGGTTCCAATCTTCGCCTTCTTTCCGCCGCTGCTCTTAGCTGTAGCAGCCGCAGGCGGAGCCGTGGTCTCGAGGAAGCGTTCGAACATCTCCAGCAGCGGCGCCGTATTCGCGCCGCCACCCAACGAAGCCACAGCCTGCACACCAGTTTTACGCATTTGCGCGCGCACCTTCGAGTTCGGATCTCCCAGACCGTGCTCCATAACAAACGTCAGCAGCGCCATAGTGTTTTCACTAGACATGGCCTCAGGTCCAGCAACTTCCGCAGCCTTCTCTAAGCACACAGCGACACCAAGACGAGGACACATGGTGCGAACATCTTCGTCCAGTTCTGCAGTTTGCGCACCAGGACGACGAACTGTAGGAATGCCGAACTCGTCCTTGCGCTCCATCTGCTTCGGTTGACTGTTCAAGAACTGGGTCTTGAGGTTATTCAGCAATGGCGTGACCGATTTGGGGAACTGACGCATGCCATCAGCAAGAGCAAGAGATGCGCTTTCACGCACACTAGTGTGTGTGTGGTTCAGCAGGACGAGCAGCGGGCCAGCGTACAGTGCCGAGACGGTAGCGCCAGTGGCATCCCAGATCTGGTTAGCAAGAGTACGGTTCTCCTCCTCTGAGTCAAAGCGGCAGCAGTACAGTCGACTAATCAAGAGGGAGCTCGGCTTAGCACTACGGAACTCCTCGCCGCCTTCCTCGCTCTCAACAACGTTGAGAAGAGCAGTCAGCACTTCACCACGAGCACTCGCCTCCTCAGAGAGAAGACCATCATCACCAAGCAAAGGGGCCCATTCAGTCGCAGTCAACTCCGGTCCCAAGCACAGAGAAGTTAGCAGCTTACCCGGGGCCAAATCCGGGTTGGTAATAGGCAGCGCGTTGCCCGTTGCCTGCTGGGACAACAACAGCAGAGTTAGCTGCAGCATATCACGACGCAGCAGACGCTGAGCTGCAACATCGCCAACTTCTTCCTCCTCTTCGTCCGGAATCATACGTGCGTGAACAGCAAACAGAGGTAGCGCCCAACGACGCAGGTCTGGCGCAAAGCGAAGCAAGTCACGCAACACAGGGAAGAGCAGATGCAGCGTCGGTGGTGGGATCAAGTTGCAGGGAGCATCAGCGTCAAAGTCCGTCTCGGTCTCGAACTGGAAGCCGAATACATACTCCATAAACTCTGCGAGAAGACGCAAGAACAGTCCCTCTACTTCCGCAATGTGGGCAGCCTTAGCCTTGTCAGACGTGAGTTGGCCCAGCTCCAATGCGACACGCAGGGCACTAGCCACGTCTTGGTAGTTCAAGCGAAGCGACTTCGGGTTGATGGCCTTAGTTAAGGCCATCAGAGCACTGGAAGCTTCAGATTCGAACAGGGGACACGTGAAAAGCACACGTACAGAGCGAAGGAGGTACGGTAGAGTAGGGTGCACTTCATCGGGACGAGCGACAGCCAGCATGTTGACGGCTTCAAGCACAGTAGACACTACGCGGTGCGTCTCTCGGACTTTTTGGCGCAGTTGTTGTTGCTGCTCCAGCTGAGCCTTCTGCTCCGACGTGTACACCTTCTTTTGAGCTCCCTGCTCCGCACGTTTCTTGCGCTCGAGTTCTTCACGCAGTTCCTGTTCCCACTGTTCATCCTCGTTGCCGCGACGACCACCACGCTTACTGCGGGTAGTGGCTTCTTCCTCCTCTCCTTCCTTATTAGGCTCGTACAGCTCGTCAAACGGCGTCTGGCAGACAGCAACATCCTCCTCGCTGAGAGCATCAATCTTTTCATCGTCCAGACGTTTAGCCAGCAGGTCCTCAATAATGTCATGCAAAGCAAGATCCTCGCCCTCTCCGTTGCCAGCGAAATCGAGCAGAGTTGCCAGTGAGCGCTGAGCGGCTAAGCGCTGCAGAAGACTCATAGAGTATAGCTTGCCTGTGGAAGCATTGGCCAATAGTTCAACGACTGCTGTCTTCACTTCCTCGTGCTCCTCGATGAAATTGTCCACAAGACTGGCGTCGCTGGGAGGCTCGTCCTCGTCGTCTTCAGTATCGGCAGAAGCAGCATTGGCAGATAAGAAACGCCGACGGATGGACTGCCACTCACATGAAAACGCCTCTGCCTTCCTGCCTGCAACCAGGAATGGGTGGTGTGCAAGGAAAAGAACAAAAGGGAATACCTGTACCTTCGTGTCGTCAGCTTTACTGATAGCAGTCGGAACAAGAACGCGCAGAGCACGACGAAGTCCACTTGCAGGTGGAACACTGGTCTCCTCTTGAGCGGAGAGGGCGTCAATCTTCTTCTCGAACGCAGCTACCAGGCCAGCGCAGTGCTCCAGAGATGACAGATACATCGTCTCCACAGCATGCTCCGCACTCTGGCGCACCGTTAGACTTGACGAACACAGCAGCTCCACCAAAAGAGAATACGCCTCACTGGCATCTGATTGCTGCGATGCTAAGACCCACACGAGAGCACGGGAAAGTGCAGCCAAAGCCGAAACCTCTGGAGACTCTGGTGCAGTAGCCTGGCGTGGTGTGCTCGCTTCACTGCTCAACAGCGCGCGAACGCTGTTTCCCACGAAGGATGTAGAGCTCAGCAGCAGATCAGCTACTCCTTCTTGAGCCATACGAGCGTCCAACTCGCTGCTAGCAGACGCAATCGCACCAGCCACGGCAACAGCCAGCACACCATCGAGACGCGCAACATTCGGCTTCTTGTTCGAGTCCTTGATCACAGCTACAACTTCGTCAGCAAATGGTGCGACGGCAGTGGCTCTAGAACGGCAAAGCACTGCCAATGTGCGGAGGTATCCAGCGACAACAGGCTCAGGCTTGTTCTTGAGCCCTGTTTTCAATGAAGTCACCGTAGCAGCCTCGAATTCGTCCGTACCAGCAAGCGCAAGCCACTTGCCAAGCGTTAAAAGTCCAAGATGACGCGTTGGTTCATGAGCCTCCTTGCCCACGGCCTTGAGTAGAGAGGCAATAGCAATGGACGCAATTTCCTGCACCTCCGAAGCAGCCAACTGCACTGTAGCGACTTCAGCTGCGTCCTTCAATACAGCGAAAGCAACTTCACGCTGGTAGAACTGGGCGAGGATACCGTGCTTACCGTCCAGCAAGGCGCTCATCACAGTCACGAACTCCTTCATGTACTCGCTTTGTCGGAGCGAGTAAGCTAGTGCTCCACCTAGTGCAACTGCAAGAGCGCGCACATCATCCTTGGGCGCTCGTAGCTTGGAGACCAGCACGGATTGAAAGACGTCAGTCAAGTAGCGTCCAAAGTCCAGCGGTGCGGCGTGAACGAACGCTCCCACAGCTTCAATCACCGTGTCGGGGGCCTTCTTGAGCATCTTAGCCATAGATGGCATGATAATCTCCTCGAATTGCTTGTAACTCAAGTTCTTAAACCTCGCATCGCTCTTTTCCAGCGGTGCAAACGTACGTTTCTTGCTCTCGAAAGCCCAGAACACGTACTTGTTCCACAGCAACGTCTGGGCCTCCTTGTTCAGTAGATCACTCAAACTTAGTACAAGCCACAGCTGGTAGTGCTGCTCCTCGGGTTCAGCGGCGGAAATCATGTCCACATAGCTCTGCAACAGCGTCTGACCATGCTTACTAAGCAGCTTGAGCAGCGCCTTGCGTGCCTGCTTCTGGCTGCGCTCTTTGTCTCCAATAGTGGACTCCAATAGGCGACTTTGTGCTGATAGCAGCTCGTTGAGCCAAGCGGCGTCCGCTTTAGTATCAGCAGACAACGCCGCGTCGAGCACGACACACGATAGCCGCAGCGCAATCACGCGTGCACTAGCGAAGGAAGCTACCAGCGCCGACGTCTTAGCACGCAGTACGTGACTGAAAATTTCCGGGAAGGTCGGCAGCTCCTTGCAAGCCTCAGACAGCAGCGCGCGCAAATGTCGCTCGGAGCTGCGGTACTGACAGCGGTAAGTCTCGGCTAGAACTTGGCTCGCCAAGCGCTTGAGTGGCAGCTCACCGGCCTTGCATTTGGTGACAACTTCGTGCTGGTAAGACTGGATGAAGACCAGGTGCGAAGGACGCAGCACGGCCGTGTCCAGCAGTGACCGCAACACGTCCTCTTGCTCCGCCATGATGTCGTTGGGGGAGGCAATGCGGGCACCAGTGCTTTGTATTGGATACCCCTGTCTGTGGTGAGGAATGGTAGAATTGTATGATCAATCTAATCGTACATGCATTTTGACTAACGATACAAGCTAGAAGGTACTTTGAGTATTGCAGCCACCGTCTACAGCAATCGAAGGGAGCAAACGGCCAGTGGGTCATTTACTATGGCGGACGACGATGGCGCCGGCTTTGCGGCGTTTATGGAGACAGTAGGCGGTGACAAGCCCAAACAGGCGGTGGATAACCCCAAGGACGAGTATCACTATGAGGAAGAGCAGGAAAAGGAGGCTATGATGAAGAACTATCACCACCCAATGAAGCAATGGTTTCGTCAGAGGCCGCAGCTCGAGGTGTCACATGAATATTGACTATAACGAGGCCTTTGCCGATGCTAACGTGTTTATTGCTCTATGGCGACTGTAACAGGCCAAATACGGCGCATTCCCACTCTTCTGGCAGGAACTCAAGACGTGGGAGCCGTACCGGGAGGTGCGCAAGGCTTACATCAAGTTCACAGAGCATGGGGGCGACGTTGAATCCACAGAGAAAAAGGAGAATGTAGTGGGCATGGATAAACAGGAGAAGAGAGGAGATACAACGACTGAACCAGCAGAAGAACAGCCGAAAAAACGACGTAAAAGTCGGTGGGGAGAACCTGTGGAGTCTGCAGCGGACGGTAGTGGCGAGAAGAAGAGAAAGAAGTCACGGTGGGCACCAGCGTCCGGTGCGTCGTCAGGGATGACTGGTCTCTTTAATGAAAAGCAGCAGCAGTCGGTAATTCTTCGTGCAGAGCTGGAGACCATTAACCAAAAGTTGAAGACGGTGGTGATGGATGCAGCTCTGGTTGAGAAAGATCCGAGCAGATCGCCGTCGCCTCCACCGCAATATGACTCGAACGGAAAGCGCACCAACACACGCGAAGTTCGTATGAAGGCTGCGTTGGAGAAACGCAGACGCGAGACGATTGAAGAGCTCGTCAAGATCAATCCACTCTTCCGACCACCAGCGGACTACGCGCGTCAGAAACTGAACCGTAGGATTTACATTCCTATTCACGAGTTCCCGTCCTACAACTTCATTGGTCTGATCATCGGCCCACGCGGTAACACGCAGAAGCGTATGGAACGAGAAACGAACTGCAAGATCGCTATCCGTGGCAAGGGATCCGTGAAGGAAGGCAGCAAAGGCAAGAAGATGAATGCCGATGAGAACGACGATCTGCATGTGCTAATCACAGGTGACCGTGAGGAAGATCTCGACAAGGCAGCCAAGGAAGTGCAGAGTCTGCTGGTGCCAGTTGATGATACGAGGAATGCTCACAAGCAGAAGCAGCTGCGTGAATTGGCTCTGATCAACGGTACACTCCGAGACGATGACTATTGTCATATTTGTGGTGAAAAAGGACATCGCCAATGGGAGTGCCCCAACCGAGACGCTCAGCGTACGTATCCGTAAAGTACTCTTTTTACATGAGTGTTGCTGCTAACTATGACTGCGTTGTTTATGCTGAGTAGGTACCTTCAAGGCTGTTAACGTCAAGTGTGCCATTTGTGGCGACTCTAGTCACCCGACACGTGACTGTACGCAGAAAAAGAAGTCTGCCGAAGAAAGTGCAGCCATTGACAAGGAATACCAGCAGTTCATGCAGCAGCTTGGCGAAGCACCTGCCACATCGACAGCGACAAATGGAAAGGCTCCAGGAGAAGTGAACGCTGGTGCTGCAGCGCCATGGTTGCAGCCAGCGAAAATGGTGGCGCAGCCTTGGATGCAGCAGTCTGTTGGTGCACCTGGTACAGCAGGCGCGCCTGGTGTTCAAGCTCCACCTGGGACGACTGCATTAGGATCTACTCCGGCTACGGCATTCCCACCTCCAGTAGCTCCGCCTGGTGGGTACGATTACCAAGAACAAGGACAAGACTGGGGGCAGCAAGGATGGAATGGTGGGTACAATTCGTATTACGGGTCATGGGATCAGAGCGGTCAGGCAGCTGACTATCAGGGATATGGACAATATCCTCCTGCGGGTGCTGCTGGCGCTGGTGCACCTGGAGCTAACGGGACCGATCAGTACCAGTATCCGCCATACGGCAATCCGCCGCAGTAACAAACTAACTGCATAGTGTCACCAACTCAGTGATGTGGAACGAAGAGCACCAGGCACGCCCCGCCAGTTGGAGACATGAGGAAGGCGGATCCGCGACACCAGCGCAGAGGAACTAACTCGTAGGAATACACAGGAGACTTTTGCTTGCTGATCCTTCGCTTATGTGTTCTTTGTTTGTGCTTGTTGCTGTACGAGGAAACCAACGCCGCCGCGAAAATACGGGCCGAACTGTGCTTCGGATTGACTGAATCAGTGCTGCTGTCATAACCATTATTCTGTTGGCCGCTGAGTAGATTAGTTTCAGGCTGAGTCGATCTCGCCGTTCAATTTGAAGGTCCAATATTACTGAAATGTCAGAGTGTCCTTCTGGTGCAAACGTATCTTTCGCTTACAGAGCTCCAGGTTAATGCACCTTTTTGAAAAGCAATATGTTCGGTGCAGTCCTTGTTGCACCGAAGCGTGGCGATACCTAAACGGGTGGCTTCTTGAGAAACGTATCTTGTCGACTTAGCTGCCTGAAAAGCTCCTGGCGCAAGTAATCGAAAGTTCTCGGTTAGAAGCAGCAATGCCTACTACAGGGCTAATTAAAAGCACACTTGTTGACGGCTTCCATCGGACACGAAGTAGTTTTCGAAGCGCCTTCGAAGATTGAGTAAGGAGGGCTGATCCGTGCAACTGCTTACATTCAGCAACACGTGGAAAAACTCTTTCCACATGTCGACTTGCCAATAGCGCTTGAATTGCCGGAAAATTTCCCAGTGCGTCGCGCCCTGGGCATTAAGGCAGGGCTTGACTTCCATGTACTCCCCGAAGAGCATGCAGTGCATCGTCCCGCAAAATGCAAACGTGTCGATCTGGTATGTCCACGGACGCTGAGTAAGCATCTCGACGCATTGGAAGCCTTTTGCGTGGCAATTGCCTCTGAACACTGTCCCCTCTGGATACAGACTTAAGTCTATCGATCTCCCATAGTCGATCAGATAAAGGTCACCAGCCGCGAAATCTTTGTCAGCTTTCGATTCTTGGTTGGTCATCGACAGTTCAGATGACGGGTTCCCAGGTATCATCAACCAATTGTCCGGTTTGATGTCGCCGTGAAGAACCTTGGAATTGTGAAGCAGCTCAACGCAGCGCAGCATCTTGATACCGTAGTAAACAGCTAGCACTTCCGGAAAGACGATACCCCACTGCGAAAAAAAACAACGTTAACAGTAGCTTCTGTAAATGCCATCTATCATTGGAGATAATTACCTGCTTGTAGCTATTCAGGACATCGAAAAGTGTACCGACATGACCTTTTTCCATGATGAGCAAAGCTCCATTCTGTCGAAAGCAGATTTAATGAGCCACGTTAAGGTCGGCAAGCTTACAACCAGCAAAATCACGTGCCGGGAATAAATGAAGCCCGGAAAACGTTGGAACAGGAATCTTCTCATCCGAAAGTCCTCTCTCAATCCTCAGCTTTTTCTTGATCTTGTTTGTGATGTAAAACTCCCAAGCTAGATTCTGGCGCTCCTTTTCAATCTGCACGAGCACGCATGTTAGCTACACCTCAAGGATCACCTGGACAGTGCATGCTAGCACCTTAACAGCCTTGTTGTGAGTGGTATTGCTAGCCGTGTCAACGATCTTCGCTGAGAAGACATACGCAAACGAGCCTGATCCTAATATTCCAACTAGCTGGAGAGTTAGTGTTGGGCTGGCCTTGAAGACAATCGTCCTTCGCAGTTTCCGCTTGACCGGGTTAGTGCAGGGGACCCGTGGCAAAGCCAGTGAATGGAGCTTGACGGCATCAGGTCTCGAACACAAGTACCAGTCAACTCGTCGATCAAGGATCAACTTTTGCCGGTTTTCATAAGTGTACGGGTCCAACACGAGAGCTGGTGCAGGTTTTTTTGTGCTGAAATGACTTCGCACAGTTGGCTGCGGAATATTTCTTGACGTCAAACGGTTAGTCAAAGCTTCTAAAGCGTGAGCTAACTAACATTACGACTTTATTGTCTGATGGGATCGCACGACAGTCAATGAGCACGGCAGGCAGTAACTATACCTCGATGACCCCTTTCGTACTACTTTCTTGGTTGCGCCTTGAATCCAGCGGCTAAAATATACGCTGTTCGATCAGCAGTGCCGAACACTGACAGGGGTTTACCTACTATCATAAATCGAAATTGGAAGAGTAGGCAGCGGGGCTCTACCTTTCCGTCGAGTCCTTCTCAGCGGCATCCTTTTGGGCTTGCATAATTACGTCTTTGTTCGTAAGACGTACACCACGCACCAGGTCATCTCGGGCACCGAGAGGCTTCCTTTTCTGACTACATGTCTTCTTTCCAGTCCGTGGCTCCTCCGGAACATCATCACTGAAAACCTGAAATGCTTGTCCTGCTTGAGGCTCTTGGGGAGCGTCATCACTAAAAACCTCGAATGCCTGCTTCCTTTCTACCAGAGGCTCAGCGGCATCATCGGTGAAAACCTGGAATGTCTGATTTGGAACGGACTCGTTTAAGTCTTGTCGCTGGGACTGATCCTGTGCATTGAGTGCCACGCTATCGACCGAGTCTTCAAATATGCTGAAGTGAAGCTTTCTCTCAACCGGATCCTCCTCCTTCGCATCCCAGACGCAAGGTTTTGGTTGTCGTGGTGGGCTGCAGAACATGTTGTTGATGTCTTCCAACGCAACACGAGTGTTGATAGTCATGTCTTCTTGCTCACCGTTGTGCGTTGATGCCGGATCACTCTGCGCCGTAGTTACAAGACGATCTGGTTTTCTCTCAGAGTTATTTACTCCTTGAGAACAAGGTGATGTTGTGGCCAGATGCCTCTCCGAAAGGTTGACTCTGTGAGAAGCTGTCGAAGTTGTCGCCGACGAAGTAGCAGCAGACGAGGACGACATCACATTGGAGGCAGAGTCCACGTCGCGAGTCACATTTTGCAGCGCCCGATGACTAAGCTCACGCTTTTGTTCCAAATTCTGCTGGTACGCGCGGGCTCGGCTTTCTTCGAAGGAAATTGCTTCGCCCGTCTGGGATGTGATCTGTTTCACGTTATAACAAGGTTTTTCCGATCTTCCTTTAGTTATTTGCTTCTGCAAACGCGCCTTCTTGTCGCTGGCAGTGAAGTTCTTCAGTGGTTCCTGTGCCAGCATTTCCTCCTCTGTAGCTACTCCATCCAGTCGCTGTCGTAGAGTTTGAGAACGATGTGTCAGAGGAGTCCGTCTCTTCGACTCAATTTCAGGCACAGAAAACTCGTCATCCACAAAAACCTGTAAAGGGCTGGCGTCCTGTGCTCGACTGCTTCCAGCAGAGGGCGATCGACGATCAGGTAGTCTACCAACTCTAGCGCCAGTTTCTTCACGAGCTCCACGTGGATTCCATGCACTCGGAGTCATCTCGTTCTCTTTGTCCTGTTGCTGCATGGTGCCAAGCTTTTTCCATCCACCGTTACCATCAAAAGGATCTACAGAGTGTCCAACAGGATCCTCGTAGATAACAAATACCGGTTTGTGCGCATTGGCTTTCTGGATGCGTTGGGTCCGAGCAGACGCTCGGTGCTGGTGAAGTTGTTGACGCTGCGCATCGTTTAGTTCCAATGTCCCATAGGCTGAAAGGCTTTCGAGAGCACGGCGATGCGTTACCTCATCAATTTCGCTTGCTCCTGTCTCTTCGGTCATTCGCAGCCATTGTCGACTCATGCGTCTCTGAAATTCCTTGTACTTCCGCTCCAGGAGATCCTGGGGCTCCGCGCTCCTGAAGCAACAGTAAGAGTTAAATTTTTTAAACTCAATAGAGCATTTTAAAGGCCAGAGGCGCGTACTTCTGGCCGGCTTTTAAATAAATCTTGTGTGCTTGTGGGTAGTTGGCAATCGTCTCCAAGACGTAGGCCCAGCCAATGTAAAAGAGTGAGACGCGCTCTCCGATCTTGTTTTGGTACAGATACTTGAAAATATCCTTGGGGTTGGACACCAAGTCCGCCTAGAGCCACAGAAACCTCGTTAAAATAGGAAAATTACGCACCAAATAGCATCATCCGTACTACTCACGTATTGGATCCAGAGTCGGATGTATCTCATGTCGTTCTTGTAGCGCGGATTGTCCTTGAGCTCGCGTGTGCACTTTTCAAGAACAGCAAACTTCTTGCGCGTGTCCTCAGGCATCTTGACTTCCAGCCAGCGTACGTATTCAAGCCAGGCAGCAAGCGGATCGTCTCCGTCGTAGGCCTCGACGGCTTCTTCCTTCGTCTTAAGTTCGTCCTCAAGTCGCAATTTGGTCTGAAATGAGTCATGCGCGCGCAGAGCTTTGTTCAGGTCCGCTACATTACGGCCCCGCTTCAGTGGCATCACGTTCTCCTTGGAGGCCTCCCACTCAAAGGCGTCCGCCTTGCGCTTGCGGTCCGAGGGCGCCGCGTCCATCGTCATGGTCGTCGGCTCCGGCTTCTGCGCAGCCTGTCGCGTTCGTCACGCACTAAGCTTGGTTTTTGTATGCTTCTCGTTGATCCAATGCGGAATCCGATTCGCGCTCCATTTCAAATTTTTAAAATCCCGCTAAAAATGATACTTGGCTCCTCTATACAGTGACATATGTAGGTCTCACTTGAGTGACCTGATTAATGGCGTGTTCGTAAGCGATCAGATACATGTTACTGTACATACCGGTACCCGGTACATGATTGGAAGCCCATTTATACATATCGGTACCGTACCGGTATGTATAATAGGGCTTCCAATCATTTCACGAGAAACTCGTCTGCGATCATACTTTACATATACAGTATTAAAACATGTACAACACATACAGTACAGTACTCACTTCCAGCTTTTTGACTCCGCGCCGCAGCCGAGGCTTCGGTTCTTGAAGTCACATCCGTAATCAGTTTGCTGAGAAGAAAAACGGGCTGGTTTAAGAGAGGGCTACTGCCACAATATGAGATAACCTGTCTTGAAAAAGCCGGATGCACGAAAGGGGTGAAGTATTTAAAGCTTTCAATTTTTAAGTTGTTTTAAATTGAAGCTAGATGACAGCCATCCCACGTGTTGTGGCAATACTGTGAGCACTTCCATGGTTGGCAACCGACGCAGATCATCAACTTCTTCCGGCGTCGACGTCAGTGGCTCCCCACAATTCAATAGACAGTCAAGGCGCCGCCCCACCTCCCCAGCCCAGCCATGACCCTCAACTTGCAAGGAGCTTTTACCGCACTCGTGACGCCCTTCACAGAGGACGGCAGCGCTGTCGACTACGCCAAGCTGCGTGAGCTTGTGGAGTGGCAGATCCAGGAGGGTATCAACGGTCTCGTGCCGGTACGTTGTACTATTGGGCATTGCCATTGCGTGAATGGTTGCTAACGACGCTGTCAATGTGCTGCAATCTCTGCAACAGATGGGCACGACGGGCGAGTGCCCCACGGTCTCCCACGAGGAGCACGACCGCGTTGTCTCGGAGGTGGTGGCTACGGTCAATGGCCGCGTGCCTGTGATTGCCGGTACGGGCTCCAACAACACTGCGGAGGCTCTGCGTCTCACTCGCGCGGCCAAGGACGCCGGTGCCGACGCCTGCCTGGTGGTTTGCCCGTACTACAACAAGCCCACGCAGAAGGGTCTGTACGCCCACTTCAAGGCCGTGGCCGAGGTGGGTCTGCCTGTGGTGGTGTACAACATCCCCGGCCGGACCAACGTCAACCTGACGCCACAGACAATTGCTGAGCTAGCCAAGCTTCCCAACATCGTGGCCATCAAGGAGTCGACCGGCTCGCTGGACCAGGCCATGGAGATCGCTGCGCTCTGCGACATCACTATCCTGTCGGGCGACGACAACCTGACCCTGCCGCTTATGGCCATGGGCGCCAAGGGCGTCATCAGTGTACTCTCCAACGCCTGTGAGTCACATATCACAAGTACTTGTGCTTTGCGAATCGCCCACTGAATCTACTGTTTTCATTGTTGCGTGAGAACAGCTCCCAAGAAGGTGCTGGCTGTCACTGACCCCATGCGCAAGGGTGACTACGCTGCCGCCCGCAAGGCTGCTCTGGAGAACGTACGTTTGTCTTGATCGTGTTTGGCTTTATGCCTGGCGGCTAACAATTTGCTTGAACAGATCTTCCTGGTCAAGTCACTGTTCAGCGAGGCCAACCCGCAGCCCATCAAGAAGGTGCTGCAGCTCATGGGCAAGTGCACAGCTACTGTGCGTGCCCCGTTGGTGGAGTGCGAGCCTTCAACTGTCGAGAACCTCACTAAACTGGCCAAGGAGCACAAGTTTATCTAAGGCAAATTGTAAAGCAGACCGTGGATCTGGTTAATCCAAACCTGCTATAGCCAACTCTCCTACTGTGTCCAAAACGTAATGTTGCAAGTGTTTTAAAGTCTATTCACCGCTAGGTAAGGAACTGCTATCGAACCAACATAGATTATTAACAAACTTCGGGGTGAGGACTCGAGGCGCGATGAAAAACCACAAAACTCACTCACTCGTTTGACCTCAGAGCTGCATCCCTTTCCTAGCACTGGGAAACCAGACGCCACAAAACTATCGATCTCTTGAGTCTAGTACTTGCTGGCGTTGCTTGATCTGTCACTCGAGGCAACACTGAAGCCACTGATACGCGAGCTCTCTCGGCTGTACGGAGACATGCCGGAGCTGTACGAGTCTGCGCTCGAGCGCGATGCTCGGAAACCGTACGAGTCCACAGACACTTCGCTCTGTAGTCTCGACTGGCCCATGTCCACGGAGAAGCCGGTAGCGCGAGATTCCTCCGTCACACGGGACTCCTCGGTAGCGCGGTAGTCGTCGAAGCGTGACTCAACCGTAGCACGGTCTTCTTGCACATTGAAGTCCTCGGTGAAACGCGATTCAACCGTAGGGCAAGACGACATGGAAAAGCCAATATTGCGGTTCGAGTCGTGGTCGCTCATGCCCGTGATGCGCGATGTGTCGTCTTCCGACAATCCGCTGACCGTGCTGAATCCCCCGATGCTACCGAATCCACGGGCTTTCAACTCAGCCTGCTCCATCGAGTCCAGACGAGAGTCCATGCGAGAGGACTCGGAGTCGTTCCAGTCTCCAGGCTGCAGGTACTTGTTCTGTCTCGCCGACACAACCGAGTCACCGAAATTGGACATGGAGGCTTCGCTCTGAGTGCCCGCGATGGACGAGATCTCCGACATGTTACTCATGCGGTAGGCATCAATTTCAGCCTCGTTCGAGTGAGCGGCGGCGGCAGCGGCACCGGCAGCACCGTAGCTTGCCTTCTCCGAGTACTCGTCGGTATCCAGACTACTCTTAGGGAGCGAGTGCAATGAGCTTCCGTTGCTCGAGTTGAGCTCCGATCCACGTTCTGCTGAAGCCATAATAGCGACTGAGGACTCCTCACTCATCATGTTCTCTGCAGCCTTGTTGTTGTTGCGAGATGAAATGTTGGCGACGTACGTGAGATCAATCTTGCCGTCATGGCCGTGCAGTCCGCTGTCGTCCATGTCGCTAGACATAGAAGGAGAGTTGAGGTCGAATGCCTTGTTAGCGTGCATACGCTGCTCCTTACGACGGCGCATCACGAAGGCAAAGCCAACCACACCGACAATACAGCAGCCCACCAGTGCGGCGATGATGATCACGCCGTTATCACCGAGGAAGCCGCCGCTGCCAGTCGAAGTCGAAGCTGTCTTGGTTGCTCCCGAAGATTCTGGGTCACTTTGCTGTGTCGTATCATCGGACGTGGTAGGAGCCTTCGTTGTCTTGGTTGAGGAGTCCGTCAATTGAGCCGATTCGTCCTCGCCTGAGCTCTGCTTTTCCTCGGAACCCTGCTCCGCCGAACTGCCCGAGTCGTTTCCAGAGGTGCTGCCAGGCGCACTAGTCGTGGTGGTGTTGTTGCTGCCAGACGACGAGGCAGAAGAACCTGTGGAAAGCGACGGCGCCTGAGTTAGCGGCGGTGCAGTTGTTACGGGCGGAGCAGTAGTCGACCATGTGGTCTCCTCTGTGCCACTTGAATCATCAGAAGTTCCTACGCTACCTGTATTCGACGTCGACGAGGACGAAATGGCCGAGTCAGCAGACACGATGCTGATCTTCTTGAACACGATGTACTCCTCCGCTGCGAGGTTGAGGCTGGCGTCACCGGGCAGGGCAACAATACCCACAATGATGTAGTCGCCAGCAGAGGCGAGGTTAAACGTGTTGGTCTCGAGTGCCTTCGTGCCGTCTGCGGCGAATGCTCCGGTGCTAGTTCCGTCGGCACCCGTGGGGGTTCCACCGACGTTCGTGGCGCAGTTGGTTCCGGCCGTACACGCGAATAATGACGAAGTGGTCACGGCACCTGGGAGACCGGTTGTCGCATCGATAGCGTTGGGGAAGATAGCATTGGCCAAACCCACGTTCGCCTTGGCTGACCACTTTACAGTGACGGGATCACCCATGTGGATCTCGGACGCTGTAAGTGTAAGCGTGACGCCCACCGGGCAGCGACCGACGTTGCCGGCTTCCAACGAGTCGAAGTTGAGTGTACCAACCGCCCCGTTGACACCCATGCAGTAGGTAGTAGAGCCGTCCTGCGTGAATCCGTTGTCGACGTCGACGGCATGCACGGCTCCGAGAAGCGCTAGCGCCGCCGCAGCAAAAGCTGAGACTACCTTCATCCTGCTAGTACGTTTCTCGATGGAAAAGTCTGTCGATCTGGGCTGCTTTCCTGTATATTGGGGCTATCTACTGTTGACAATTTGCGGGCACGTCGAGACCGTTTCCGCACACTGCAAAGAGTAAAAGGCCGAGCAATCTGGAAATGACTTGCATTCCCTTATTACTTGCGCCCTGGTCGGCACAGGAGAGGAGAGTCGGAAGCGCACTGGTCTCTGTGGATAGCCTCTACTCTACACCACGAAAATGGCCCAGCTGGTTCTGCTGCATCGATTCGTAGTTTTACCCCAACCGCGAAAACTCTGCCGAAACCTTGGGAAAAGTTCTTATTTTTTTTACTTTTCGTAACATGGTCCGACGAGCATGGAGCTTTTTGGCATGAGATTTGAGACGAGTATTCCGCAATCGCATCAAAGTACATGTACACCGAGCGCAATGCTGGTCAGCACCATGGACTGCCATGTTGATACACATTAATACATGTACAGCTGGATCTACTACGTTGTATCCAGAAGTCTCCGTTATTCTTGACTTCATCAGCAAGGTGCTGCGTGATGAACGGTGACAACCGTTATTAATATGGTTGTACCAGACCTATCGCCGATAGGCTATCGGTATCTCTACAAGCGAGCGACGCAATGATGGACAATACTTTCAATATAGAGCGCCCGAGGCTGCGTGGAATTTGCGCTTTAGAGTGGTGCCGAGATCGGCAAGTTGCAGTGGGCGCGATACACCGCCGACGGATGACAAGCAAAAAGAGTGTGTAGCTTCTCGCAAATCGTCCAGCGCCAACGACAACACCGGTGCCATATTGCACTGCCATACAACTTGCAAACTGCCATGCTTATTGGATCGAGAATCGATTGTCCGAAGAATTTTCGGAAATCGATTGCAAGGCGTTTTTGGCACGTACACATTAATTTTCAGTACAGACTGTACTGGGAACTGTACTACAGTACATATTCGCGGCTTGTTGTCAGTGCAAAGATTGTCTGCAATCTGCAATTGAGCGCACCAAGATCCTAAGAAGGCGACAGGCAACTCGTTTACTGTTGCCTCACTTACTTTATGTTGCTGGTGGAAATCATCCGCAGTCCAGTTCGTTCATTACGAACAACCTGATGTAGTGTACCTTCGACTGCTAGCACGAAGGGCTCCGTGGCGCGTACTAATACCACGTTGCGAGCCATACTCACCACCGCGTCGTGGCTTCTTATTTCGCAGCGTGCTCCTGCGTCCTTCCCCACTGTTGCTGGTGTACTTGTAGCTCTCTACCAACGAGCTTCATCTACCTACCCACGCGTGGTGGCGCTTTCGCTAGACCTAAAGAGGCAGGTGGCGCGTTACCAACCGAGGTGAACCATAGTCGCGTCGCAGCTGGAGTGCACCGTGCACGACCGCACAATATGCTTCACACCTTTCTCTCAGGAACATTCACGTCCCGCAGGCGGCGGTCGGCGCTGCATCGCCGCTCACCAACACGATGGCAGCCATGTGACCTTGATTGCCAGCAGCTCATCCGGCTCGAGCGGCTTTCCAAAACCAGGACTTCCAGGCGCTCCTCGCCAAGCACTTGGCTAGCACGTGACCGACAGCTGAATAAGACATCAAAGCACGAGGACACATACGCCGATATCATACAGTACCGCGTTGTCCTTCGTTGACACGATACAGAGAGGCATTGACGATGTGATGTCTATTGTTGCAGTTATCAGATCTCTAGGGCAGCATGATCATCAATGACATACGAGGAATCTTCATTTGCAGTGGCCGTCCCATTGGGCTCCGCTACTGCTGCCACGGTAAAGCTATCGGGCTGCTCCCAGCTCGTGGCTAGCGTCTCGACATTCACGTACCGGTAGTATGGCGCTTGGCTCGCCGGGTCAATGTACATGACCCACGAGCTCACACCAATTGCCGCGCTTTCAGCTGTTACAGCGGATTGCAGCGACACCGCGACTCCAGAAGAATCGCTACTTGGAGGCTCCCACGAACACTCGCCGGTCTTGGTATTGTAATAATACAGCTGGCCGGATGCTTCGTCCAAGTACCCTTGCCATGTGCCCTGTGAGGGCGTGGCCTGCCCGCTTGGCGAGACGACAGCGTCTGTTGCCGTCGCTGCCGCTACGTCTGACGAATTTATGGCAGAGTGGTCGCGATCTTCGACTGGGGCTGTCCACTGCGTCTCGTTCGTTACAGGATTGTAGTAGAACGACTTGCTAGTCGTGCTGTCCACGTAGCGATCCCAACGTGGTTGCATCGCTTCGACTTCGGAAGCTGCTTCAACATGGCCAGGTGTGGCTGCCGGCTTGTCACTACTCTGTCCAACGTCGATGGTTTCGCTAGGCAGAAGCGTAGGTTGCTGAAGCGAAACAGGCTCCTCACCTTGTGGCAGCTCAGAGCTGGTAGTATCGAACTCGTCCTTTTCATAATCTTCTTGAAGCGTAGCTTCTTGCATGTCTCCATTCTCTTCCTGTGAATCATCGAAGAGGTCGAACACGTACTCGCTCGAGCCTTTGCGGGCTCCAACTCCCACTACCTGAGTCTGAGGTTCACTTAAGAGCGGTGCATGTATCGGCGTCATCTCCACGCTTACCACAGTGCTCAGTGCAACATTCTGGACCTCTTCCACTTCCACATTATCCACAAGGTCCGCGTTCACCGCTACTGCAGTCACAGGACTCTCGGTCTCGTTCGTGCTTGCCACCGATGCCGCCATGTCGACAGCGTCGCTTTTCTTGACCTTCTGGCGCGTCTTCCTCCTTGTCTGACGGCGCTTCTTCGCCACCACGAAGCGCAGTTGGTCGCGAATTAACTGACGACGCACGAAGCACCGGTACTGGGATTGAATCTTGCGAGCCGCGTTATGATGCTCCTGCGCATGTGAATTCCGCAGCAAGCTCACCTCGTCAGCATCTCTTGCTGAGTTACTGGGCACATTGACCTCATCTTGCCGAGACGCTTGATCAAACAGCTCCGGTGGATCGACCTGTTCTGGTTTTGCTTGGCTGCATGTATCAGTCATCGCTGACTTAAGAGTTGAATCATTATCCACACCACTAGCGTCACTAGAGAAAACTATAGCTTTTTCGTTGTAAGGTGTAGTACCGAGGTCCAACGTAGCGACTTCGATAACATGAGAATACTTTTCTAGGGTCGACCCTCGGTCGTTCGATGGTTGAAAACATCCACGTTCCAGGGGCGAGACAGCGTCCCCGTCAATGTTTTCTCGCTCCTCTACGGGATTTTCTATTTGCTCGAGTTGAGCTCCATCAACCACTTCGGAAACGGTGGCTACTACCACTGTAGCGTTCAATTCGTCGTCACATTCGACTTGTTCTTGACGTGTATGATGCCATCCGAGTTCTGTTCGACAATCGTGCGGGTTACTTGCTGATCCAATCGCAAAGGTTCTTTACCCGGTAGACCAGTGCAGTCTGGAGACTTTGGAGAATATTCTTGCATTGGCAGGGACAAAAAAGTTGAAGTCTCTAACGTGTTTGCAACTAAATGCAAAGTGACCGAGTCATCTGGAGTGGGGCATTTATCACTACATGTTGTTTCGGACTCGCAGCTTCTTTTCTTCTTTGGTGATCGAGGTTCACTCTTAGCGCCTACGCTAATTGACTTCACCGTCGCACTTTGTGCCTGTTGCTCTATTTCGTGAGTTCCATGGTCACTTTCTGACGGAGCGGTTGTAATAGTTGCTGGTTTGATCAGCGTTTCTATGTCAAGGATAAGTAGATTTGAAGATGCTCCAGCATTTTCAAGCTCGACTTCTCGCTCGTCATCACGTTTGCCTGACTCGACATAATGACTGCTGTTGTCTAAAAATTGCGCATCGGCACCTCTGTCACTTGGATCAAGGCGGTCTGTCGTCTCGTTAGTGGCAAGATCAGAAGCTTGAATCATGACACTTGGATATGTCAGCAGCTGAAGAGTTTCACCAGACTCCATAGAATGAAGTTGATCCAGCAAAAGGGACCCCGCCTCTACACGAAGAAGTTCCTCTGAGTACCCGCTAGTGCTTTGATCATGTTGGCTTCCACTCATTATCACACCCAAACTATCACAACCTTCCTGAACACTATTTATTTCTTCGTATTCCACGACAAGATCAGAACTGGGGGCAGCCATGCTGGTTTCCTCCACTTGGTCACTCAAAATCACCTCTGCGGACATTGAAGACTTGTCACCGTAAACATTTTGCTCGGATTGCTGTGTATCTATGGCTGACAAGGACGTGTTCACTTCATCTACGATTGTGGCAGATTCATCAGACGTCCTTCCGCTCAAGCCATATTCACTTTCTCCAAAGTTTTGCAGGACACTGACACCGCTTGTTGTTTGGAAATTCGTCTCAACGACACCATCAGAAATGTCCACGCTTCTTGCTGTCTCACCCAGTCCAATTACTTCAAGTCTAGTGCTTGGATCGACTTTGTTTACACTCATCAAGTCTTCACCACAGTCAACATTGCTTTCAAAACTTGCCCCAGGAGTATCAACGTCAGCGCTATTCAAATCCAGTGCCGAATAGTTTACTGCAAATGATGTTGCCAATTCGGTGATCTCTTGTGGTGAACTTGCCGAGTCTTTCACGCGGACTTGCCCTTCGTTCGACTGAGCGTCATCCTCACCACATAATTTGGTTTCATCATGTAGCATATTACTATTGCTCTCGTCATCCTTTCCAGAGCATGGTTGGCTATTCCCATCGTCGAAGCTTATTCCGAAGTAGACAGTCGTTTGTGGTTCTTCGTATACAAGTGCAGTTGGTGAAGGCTCTGTATCTCCTGACAAAGACTCAGCGGCTTGTTCTAAGAGACTTTCGGCAAGATACTCTTCTTCTACGATGACACTGGATTGCTGCCTTGTGCTAACGTTATCTCCATTTTGCCCTTGATCAGAAAACTCTTTAATGGTTGTTTCAATTGGATTCACGTCGCTGTCTTGGCAGATACAACTTGCCTCGAGCTCATTTGTTTCAATATCCAATTTCTTTCCATCGTTTACTTCAGTTGAGGTGACTGCCGCCAAGTCACAATCCACGTCTTCATGTTTCATTTCGTTGTCCGTGCTTGGTTCTGCTACTATCGCAGCGTATGAACAAGTTCTGGACTCGGCAACCGACTCTGGATCATCTCCATAGGCCGCACCAAGCTCCAACGATTGAACCGATGGTTTGTCAGTAGGATCGTCGAAGCTTTCGCGTTCTCCCCACATATGTGGAGGTAGTTTCAACGGAGGAATAACCAGTGTTAAAGTAGCGGGCGATTCACTTGACCAGGCATACTCTGGCGACTGTAGCGCACATCGAGTAGACCTTAGGCTTTTCTTCCCAACAGCAGCAGACTCGTCTGTCTCTTGGTTACTGCGTCTTTGATTGAGCTGTTGATCTGAGCTGATCGGTCTGTTCGATATTTGTCTCGAGACCGTTGCTTTGGCAGACTTTGGGCGCGTGGAGTTTGCATGAGTCTTGGCTGCAGTGAAATTTTCCAATCCCCGATCCGTCCGAGGCCTTCTTTCCGTCGCCGACTGTTGTGCCTTCAACTGGGTTTGTACTTTTCTCGACAAGCGCAAGTGTGTGTCTGCTTGGCTTTGAAAGGCAGCTAGGACTTGAGCCACTCGCTTCTCCTTTGATAGTAGCATCTCACTTGCTTCGAAAGATTTCGCTCTATTCGCACGTGAGCTCGATAAACCTGAAGGGATCCATGGACCCTTCGCTGTACGCGTTTGATGCAGGACATATGATGACCTCTGTTGTGTTTCCGGCGTGAAGACTTGACGTGCTTGCTGGTTCTCTGGACGCTGCTTCTGGAATCTCTTCTTGCTTACCTGCTTGCTGCGCGCTCGTGTCTTATCTTGGATAGCTCGTCTGTTGTCTACTGAGTCCACACGTGAAGACTCTCTATTCTTGCCTAGCATCAGTCGACGGTCGTGCTCTTGCTGTCGTCTCTTCCGACTTCTCGCTAAGTGAAGTCCACTTCCACAGGCAAGCGTTGGGCTGCAGTCTTGGGGTTTAGCAGCAGAAGTAACGCTATTCTTCCTCCTCCGGCTCCGAGTCCTAGCTTTTGTGTCGACGTCTTGATGTTGATGGAGAGTATTATACAGCAACTCGTACGTTTCTAACTCCAGCCTTCGCAGACTGAGCTGCTCGAATTTGGGCCCACGCGCCAGCATTTCTCGCCATTTAGTGAAATTTTGTCGAGTGGCAGCCTTCCACGCAACGCGATTCTCAGTCTGTACTGCGTTTGTGCTACAAGACACTTCCGATCTGGTTGTAGCTGACTGGGGCCTCGCTCTGCTGGTAGTTGGTCTATTGTTCTCTGCTACGCGACGCGTAAAAGAGGCTGACTGCGGGCGAGCCCTTGTTACTGGTCGAACGCCTACGGGAGACTTACGGCCGCTTGCAAGACGAGGTGTTTGGAAGTAGTGAGCTTCAAGCGCAGCAGCTCGAGAATTGAAGTCCATCGTGGTGAAATCTTCTTCAAGACGACACTCTTCTCGCTGTCGTATCTGCTTCGCTACTCGATCCACCCCACGCCACTGCGTCGTTGGTTCCCAACGAACATTGTCGTAGCCATCGTATGTCCATTGTGATATGAAGTCACGCGTTGTTGACTCCGTCATCACCCCCGCCCGGAATAAATTATGTCACTTGTGCCTTCTTCAAAGAGTTTCTCGATTAAAAATAATGCGTGCCAGGGATAGTAATACGTAGCACCAGCTCACGAATCCCTCGTCACCCTGCAATAAATAACACAACACTTAAAGTGAAAAAGAATGAGGTTCCCTTGACCGCCTTACAACTTCCAGCTCCTTGTTTTGCTTAAGTCTTGGCCCACGACTTCCGCCATGACGTAGTGTGATATGATGCAATGCAATCCACCTTCTTTGCCACTCCGCAGCCAGTGAGCTCCCTACTTCCGTTTCTTCTCCGCCCACTTGTCCGATCCGTAGCACGCCGCAGCGCCAGCACCGACTGCCACCACTGAGTTCCGTACTGCCGACCACTTGCCCCCTGCAAACCATTTTTAAAAATCACGTCAGGCATCCACTTCAGATTTACTGCTCTTAATTCACGTACGAATCAACAGAGACGGAACGCCCACCACCACTGCCAGACCAGCAGCCGCCACTTCTGGGTGTTCGCGTCGGAACTCGTTCGCCTTGACCAATTCTGGCCATCAATAGCAAAAAAACGATATTAGAGCTAAAGTAGTATAACCCCACAAACTGAACACAGTACTGACGCTGTTGGGCGACGGCCAGCGCGCCTTTGACGGGCACCAGCTGGTCGTCCGCGATCTTCTTGGACTCTTCAAGTTGCAGCTGCGCCGCGTAGAGCTGTTTGTTGACGTTCACACGGGCCTCGCCTAGGTATCTGCGCAGCTGTGTCCCCTCGTCCCCATCTGCGCGCTTGAAAATGTCCACAACGGGCGCCGCGAACGTCTTTGTTGCTTCCCACGCTTGCTGCGCCGTCTCGCTCACTGCATGACGAGCCGAGCTTGTGAGCTCCTTTGCGTGGTCCACCTCGCTCAGAACCACGTCGCGCGCCTGGTTCACGGGACCCGCGGCAGCATCGCGCACGCTCTTGGAAGCCTCGTCCAACTGCTTCGACACGGCGCCAAGAGCGTCGTCCCACGGCTTCTTGTCGCCCTTGTCCGCCATACTTGATCGATCTAATGGCCGCACGTTCGGCTATTGTGAAGGTCTGTCCACCATATTGACGTAATAGCATGTGTGCTACACCACTGTGTAGTTGTGGTGTGGCATTCGTTTACATCGCAAAGGAGTCTTCCAACTGCCCAAATGGAGGCCGAGGCGCAGCTGGCGCGGGCGCTAGTGACGCTTACAGGACGCGAATTTCCGCTGTCTCGTGGTAAGGAAACACGTATTGATGCATACCTGCAGCTTGAAGATCTGCTGTGTCTAGAAGACTCAGAGGAATCTGTTCTGGAGCTGCAACGTCATGTGCCATCGCTTCTGAGCGAAATACGCTACGACCTGCAGCACAAAACACTAAGTGACGTGCTGCACGCAGCGCTGCGCTGTCTGTCCTATCTTATGCACCACTACAGTCTAGCTGCAGCCTTCTCGGATGAGCACATGACTTTTTTCCTCGGTGAACTGGTCCACTTGCTGTTCTCCACACAGGATCAGAGCACGTACAAGCTGTGTCTCTGGGGTCTGACGATGCAGAACTTTCCAGCGGAGAGACACAAGCTGCTGTCACGGACAGTAGAAGGCTTGGTACAAGCTGTGGTGAACCCATTCAAGTCGCGAGCAATCGAAGTACAGGCGCTAAAAGGACTCCACTTGCTACTGGTCAAGTATCCGGAACAGTTGGGAGTTGATGGAGCAGTGCTGGGTATCTACGTGAGGCCGATTGCGAGTCGACTAGCGAGCAGCGAGACGGCCACGAGGACGCAGGCTCGACTGATACTGGAAGAGGCGAGTAAACACCTACCAAAGTGGTCACAAGAGACGCTGACGATGGTGCAGCACTGCGCTGAGAAGTATATGCTGCCAGTGATGAAATTGCACATGGAAAACGACCGACAGAAGGATGCCGTTTGTCTGTGGAAGCTGACGCTGGTGTTGCTCAAGTCGCAGTTCTCGAATGATCTTGGGAAACTGAACCAGGTGCTGTACGTACCGGAGAAATGCATGGAAGACGAAGATGCTGCAGCTCGGTTGATGGCTATGCAAGCGTGGAGCAAGGTCGTGGAGATATTCCATGAGTGCCACAACTGGCTTTTCAATAAGGCTGTGGTAAGTTTGTTGGTGTGGCCCATTAAGCTGAGTTTGGAGCAGGAACTACTCCTTAACGTTGTAGATGCGGCATTCGAGTCTTGGCGAAGGATCGTGAGCGTCGCAGTGTGCGATTTTAATGCGTACTGCAAAGCCCAGCAACAAGCAGGAGAGCAGCAAAATGTGCCCGAGTGGAAGTTCTGGTTTGGAGAATTAGTCATGACTCCTTTGCTCACACTGATGAAGGAACGAATGAGAGCCAAGGATAGTGCCTCCACGGTCGAGTTGGACCAGTTTATTATTTTTACGAAGCAATTATGTGAACTTGAAAAGCCTGATCCAGTTAAAAGCAAGAACAGTCCATCTCGAATTGAAGACAGCAGCAACACTACACTGGGAGGATCCTCTGTGGATGCGAGCACGGCTTCGAAAGGTGGAGAGCTTAAACCTGTGGAAGTTCAGAGCTGTGGTAGCCACATAACGTCCGAGTTGATCGGCGTTGCTTTTCTGCTCGAAGACATTTTCGGGGCAGTTCAACACTTGATTAAATTATCTGATGAAAGCGGAGGCCTGGAAAGCAAACGCCGGGTAAATGACCTCGTGGTGGCTATGTGGAAAGGAGTTTGCAACCGAATACATCTCGATAGCAAGCGTGATGGCCCCGCGTCCAACTTCGAGTTGCGTCTCGTGCGGATGTGCATTGATTTCTGCTTTGGAATACTGACTTCGACGTCGACTTCAGCCGAGATGCTTGGTGTGAGCTCGCCAACCAATCAAGCCGACAAAAGTACTGAAGGTCGGCCTGCTAAGGTTGTTTTGGCGTCCGTAGGGTTTGGATTGGAGTGGCAACTGCAGCTGTTTGCGCCGCTTGTGTCTGGTGTCGCAACTCCTCGGGATTTACAAACTGTGATACTACACCCAAAGAGCAAGCTTTCTGATCACATCACCCAGCGTATGGAGTATCTCAAGAACATGTACGTTCAGTGTGCTGCAGTGTTGCAGAGATGGAAAGACAGCGAGCTCCTGATTGATTTCACGGCCAAGGAAAACGCATTGCCATATCTCGTGATAAACTTGCTGTTCGAGTACTCAGTGTTCGTGGATGACACGAATAACGACAATAGTGATGCTAAATACTCTACGCTTACGTGTCTGGAGACAGTGGTGAATAAACTCTCGGAAAGTATGAAAGCCGGCGCTCAGCACAGTCGAGAGTTGGACTCTGTGGTTCGTTTCAGTGAGGAATCCATCCGAGCAGCTCACGACCTTCTTGCTTACGACTTCGCAAGCGGGAAAAGCAGCATGCTAGACGAGCTTGTTAGCGTGTCGAAGGGCCTCACACGTCACGCCTTCGCCAGTCGGCAGAATGCCTCACTTTCGGTGGATCTCTGTCAGTCTCGTGGGAAAGTTGGCGTCGTCGTTTCTGCGACCGCTAGCACTGCTAGTTCTGCGACTGCAAGTGAAGCTTCTGATGCCGAAGAAAAAAACTCTAACGTGGTTCTTCAGGTGTCAGCATCGTTAGATCCTAGCTCTGCCTCACCGTGTCTACTGAGTGGCGAGGTGTCTACAATACCCAGTGCAAGCCCCGTTGAAACCAGTCCAGCATCTTCAGCAGACGAGCGACCAAAAAGGAATGACAAGCAAAGCCCAGATCAAAGTGCAACAACTAAAGAGACAACTATCGTCAAAACTGCAACCCCTCAACACGCAGAGGAAGCACCGACGACAGTCCCTGCCGCTGGGTCTCAATCTGCTCCGCCGAGACTTCGTACACAACGCTCCTTGTCTCAGTGCATCTACCCGGATCTCGTTGGATGCACGGAAGCGATTACATTGCTGTATCGACATTTTCCATTGGGGTTTCGGCCTTTCTTCTCCTTCTACAAGATTAAAACAATCGGCGATTTAAGTGCCTTACCTGTGGAAAAAGTGAGGACATTCGGACTCAAAGAACCTGTCAGCACCGTTCGACGAGCACTTGAAGAGTTTAATGGACGGAAGGACCGTATGAAGACATTAACCGGTAGTCCTTTCCGCCAGAGAAGCGGGTCGGCGTCCACAAGTCCCGCTATTCCCACACCTTCGCCTCACAAACCGTCCAAGCGTCCATTTCACCTGGAAAGTGGAAGTATCGCTCCATTATCTCTTGAGAAACGTGACCACAAGCGCACGAAGCGCTCACTGGTGCTCGATGGAGAAGACGGCGATGAGGAAGAAAGTGAAGGAACGCGTCGGAAACCGAAGCTGGCAGACCGAGTTACGTTCTGTCTTCAAACGGGTGAGACGGGAGAAACGCGTATCACTCGACCAGGTGAGGACTCGCAGGATCAGTTGAGACCTTCTGAGAAAGTTGAGGAGAAGGAGAGTGCGCAAGAAAAGATGGACACGTACACACTCAAGTTATTGCAGCATCTACGACGATCAGCGTACTACATGGACAAACTTGTGGCTGAAGAAGAGAGTATGCAGAGTGAAGAGGCGAGTCTTGGGACTACTATTGCCAATGTGGGCGGCGTTATCACAAACTACCAAGAAGCTCACGACTTAGTATCACGACTCGCGTCACAGCTCCAAATCGCGGCTGAAACGAGCTCCAAACGATGTCGAAAACTGCTGGATAAGCGTGGTTAATAGGGACCTCTCAACGAGGATAAAAATGGAGATGAAACAAGGACTTTTTGCTCGTCAAAGTCGCTATGGAAAGTCTGGCGCCTTGGAGTGGGTTGGCGCTTGAGCACTGGGAGGTGGTACTTGATGAGGATAAGAGCGTTCTTGCTCAGACTCCTCATTGGCGAGTACGTAAAGGCACTTGCAGCGGTGCAAGCGTCGTATTGTACTCCTGTCGCTCCACTCCTCTGAAGCTGGAGCTTTGGTCGGTTGCGCTTGAAACATTGCAACAGTTTGTCGCTCCATATCCCCACCCCAACATTGTCCAGTATCTGGGCGTGGTGACGCCATCGGAGCGATGTCAAAGTGGCGCATCACCAAACGGATGCGTCGTCATGGAATGTCTGCCAATAAGTATGTACGATGTGCTGCATCGTGACAATATCTCTTTATCGCGTCGCGAGATCGCTGGGATTGCTATCCAGATTCTTCATGGACTAGTGTTTCTCCATGGAAAACAACAAAGCTTGGGTGTATGTCTGACCAGCAAAAAGGTGATGCTGGATGGATCCAACGGCGTAAAGCTGCGTCGATTTGGTTTAGAATTCGTGTTACGGTCCGGTAAAGCTCCAGCTCAACTATCGACTACCGCGTTCAAGACTACCTACGAAATGGCTACAGGATGTCGACAACCAGCGAAGTCTTCAACTGGGTATTCTGCAGTCTCTTCGCCCAATTCTTTGGCTCCATCTCCATCTGGAAGTCCAGCCATGTTGAGTACTGATGGCTCAGATGATGCCAAGTTCACGACAATAACACAAGACCTCTTCGCTTTCGGTGTGCTTCTGCTAGAGATGTGTGTAGGCGAGAAGCCCACGAGTGAGCTGTTCAACCGCATCTCGTGTGCCAAACAAGTTGACCCAGTTTTCTACAATGTGCTGCAGTTGACGCTCTCACTAACTGGAGTTATCGCGACTGAAAATCATCGAAAGAAGTTTGCGCCGGTTACTGCGGACGCTCTACTGGATATGCTGACTGCAAACGAGCAGCAACGAGCTGTAGAAGAGCAGCGGCTGTCAGCGTCAGCATTCCCTTGTTTCCTGAATGCCGATCGATATTTTGCAAGACTAGAAGACGAGCAAGTCGAGGTAAAAGTACGCGAACGAGATCGCAGAGGAGAGATCGATCTCAAGCGACTTGCAGCTGTTGAGAAAGAGCTGCTTGAGGAGCAGAAGAACTTCTCCATACTCGTCCTTCAACTGGAGCAATCGCAGAAAGAGAAAGCGCAAAAAGCGGAGGAGAACCGGCGCCTTCAGGCACAACTTCAAACTGTTAAGCAGATCAAACGTGAAGGTGACGAGGAGATCGAACGGCAGCAGACTAAAGCTCAAGAACAAGCCGAGCGATTCGAAGCATTGAAGCTGTCTTTAGACGAAGCGCAGCGAAAAGTGGAGACGTTGCAAGTGGCAAGGATCAGTGACGCAGAAGAGAAACAAGGTCTTCTCTTCAAGATCCTTAAGCTGAAAGAAGATAAACGGAAGCTTGTAACGGAGAAAGAAGAGCTCGAAGCAGAGAACGTGGCGATTACGCGTAAAGTGGGTGGAGAGAAGGATACGCTCGAAGATCTTGAGGGTCGATTGGCTCAAGCGATTCACCGTTGGAAAGAGGAGCAGCATGTGCGAAGGAGAGCGGAACGACAAGCAGAACGTACCAGTCGTCAACTTCTGCTAATGGAGGAGGAACGGTGCAAATACTCGAGTGTGCTTCAGCAGAGCCCCACGGGCAAACGCGCCCCTCAAGCATCGCTTCCGTATGTGCTTGCACTCAAGGAAAAGGAGATCGAGGAGCTGTCTCGCCAACTCCAAGACGCTCTTGAAGGTCAAACAGCGTTGCAGGCAGATGTGGCTCGCCTCGAAGCTGATTGTGGTCGTATCAATGTTGAGAAAGAGACATTACTGTCGCAGCAAGACGAAGCACAACACGAGCTGCTTACACTGAAATCTCACATAAAAGACGATGAAGATGTCGTTGCTACACTGCGCGATCAACTCGAGGGTGCTAGTCAGGAGATCGAGAGCTTGAAGAGCAGAATCGTTGATTTTGAGGAAGAACTGGAGCGACAAGCGAAGAAGAAAGCGGACGAAGGTAATTCGCTCGTATTTCTAGTAATGTAGGAGACAAAATGGATTAACTCTTGCTTAACACTACGATTAGAGAAGGCACGCAAATTACGGCAATGTTTGACGCCTCAGTGCGATGCACCTCGATATCTCGTCGGCACCTCGGGATACTGCAAAGAGTGCGAAGAGCGAACTGGTCGAAGCTCTACTACTAGGGATGTCAAGCAGCAGCGACATCGACGTCATCGCAGCTGGGATGATGCGAATATCGGCGGCATTGCAGTGCGCAAGAGCGTCAAGAACATCCCTGTTATGAATATCGTCCGTGTTCTCAATGGAGAGGGCAGTGAGGACTCACGAGTCGAAGGCCCCGACGAACAGCAACTGCTTGAAGCTCTTAAACAACTCACTTCGATGTTGAAGACCGACGAAGGACTAAAAGATGACCTTCCCGAGTGTCTAGTGATCAAATCGGTGCTCGCTCTAATGCACCAGCAGAAAAGTAGCCTCGTGCTTCAATTAGAGTGTTGCCGGTGTCTAAGTGTGGTAGTCTTCAGCCATGATCGGAACCGTCTTATCGTCGTAGCAGAAGGTGGCGTTGACCCAGTGCTAGCAGCCATGAAGAGTTTCCACTTAGAGCATAAGATGCAAGAAACGAGCTGCGTGCTGCTCACAAATCTGGCGCATAATTGTGGTATGACCTACTACCCGTAATATTTGCAAAGCTGTTCTAGTTGCTGATCTGGCTTGGTGCATCAGAAACCAACCGCAAACGCATTCTGGATGCTGGTGGGATCGATGCCGTGCTGCAAGCCATGCAAGCATTTCCTGAACATTGCGGCGTGCAAAAGCGTAGTTGCTGGGCTCTGCTGACGCTGGCAGGATCAGGTAGATGCTTTGCCTTTCACTTCATTCCCAGTACTTGTAGTTGTTCTCATGCTCTTGTAGATTTGATGTGTGACAGCATTGCGATGCAAGGCGGCCTTGGTGCTATCATTGCAGCGATGTTGAACTGTCCAGCAGACGAACAGGTTCAGTATTACGGGAGCTGGGCTTTGGTCAACCTGCTCTCTGGAACCGAACGATTGCTAGCTTTTGCACGTCGTGAGGGTGTCCGGGAAGTTGCTGAAGCAGCATGCGCGTGTTATCCTGGCCATGAAGGAATTCAGGAGAAGACTCTTGAAATTCTGCGGTTGCTTGGCTGATAGTATTATTTCTCTATTGTACTTTGTGTTGCGATTACTGCTCCGTGAACGAGTACTGCGCACCCTGAAGCAACAACTCTCCTGCTGCGGTCGGAGCAAAAGTGCATTGAGTGGAGAAAGAGTCACCGGAATTGAACGGAACAATTCGCTGTCCTTGCAGTCCCAGGAAGATTCCATCCTCGCATGCCGTACCAAAGCAGTGCTCAACAAGGGCATTAACTTCCATGACGACAGCGTCTGGTAGATCTGAAGTGTGGCGATAGACGCGACACCTATCAAAGCATCAACAACAAACCCACAGATGGGCTTCAGTATGCCAAGATAGTCAACAGAAAGTGACAAAACGTACCGAATTTTGCTTGGTCGAGTAGCTAGAGCTTCACTTTCAACAACGAGCACAAGACTGGAAATGTGCAGAGAAAACTGAAGATGTCTGCTTGCCAATTCGTCGCCACCTCCCAGTCCTAACCCAACAACAAGCACACGTTCTATGCTAGTGTCGACTTGATACGTCTGCGGCCCTGATGAAAACCCATCGTCCCAACGAAGCGCAAACTTCGTAATGGTGTTGATCTGGGCGACTGGTATAGTAACGCGATCGGTGTTGAGATAGCCGAAACGTTTACAGTTAACCTCGTCACCCTGTCCACCAAGTCGACGGCTACTTAGCGTTTTCCCATTGATGGTGACACTACCAGAGAGGTTAATCGTGCTAGCGTCGGAGCCGATATTTACAGTCGGGCTGTCCACTCCAATTGATACAAGCTTCGCTTGGGAACCAACATCAAGTATAGCTTCCGCCGCGCCGATTGTAATTTCACTCGTAGATTTGCCACCGATATCAATTTTGCTCGAGTGCACAGTGAGAGATGCGCCACTGAAACCAGTCGCACCTGTAGGCAGCAAGTATTTCAATTAGCGATTCCACAAGTACAGCATCGTCTTCACGCAGTACGCACCAGCCACAGACACTGCTTCACTCTGAACGTTGATTTTGCTCACGTCCTCACTCCCAATCGTGATATCATCCGCTTGCTCTCCGACCGACAGTGTCTCCATAGCATTAATCGTCACAGATTTACCTGTCAGCGACACTTCAGAAGCTACATACAAGAAGAATAAGTGCAAGAAAAACATAACAACCAGATACCAGCAAGGACCAACCTTCGGAGCCGACTGTAATGCTGGAACTGAACAGCTCAATCTTGCCTCCAGTGGATGGCAGAGCTGTAGAATTCGCACCAGGTTCACCAATGCTCACTTGATTTGCCTCGATAGATGCGACGCTTGTCTTTCCTCTAGCACCCACGCGGAACTTCGGAGGGTTCGCTCGGACAGCGGCGTCCGTGATAGACAGCAAAGAGCTTGTAGTTGAGCTGCCGTTGAAATGTACCAAACCCGAGATGGTGGTGGTGGCGTCACGATTCCGCGTATTAAATGCGATAGAGTGAGAAGCATCCAGCTCTATCGCTTCTGACGTCACCTTTGTCACCTGTCCCGATGTTTCGCTATTCCCGACAAGAATCGATGTCGCACTTTCTCCTACGACAACGCCTTTCGAAGCATCAAGAGTAGTCGTAGCACCCAGCACTTTGACCGTCGACAATCCGGTCTTGCCTACTTGAACTTGAGGCGAAGATGCGCCTAAACGGACATCATTCGAGTTTATGTGAAGTTCTGACAAGCTCGTCGCTCGGTTATCGAGCGTGATGTGGCGGGTTGATACATTGAAGCGACCACCTCCCACTTTGACCTCTGTGGTATCATTCACACCAGCGTGTTCATTAAATGATACGAGACCGTGAATGTTCACCTCGTGAGTCGAACCGTGGCTGCCAATCTCGGTAAGTGATGCTGCTGACTTGTGTAGTCCTGCGTTGATATTGATAGATCCATACTCCGACGATGAATCGGTTGCTTGACCTCCGGTCAAAGTTATATCTCCACCAAAATTGAGTCCGTCGCCACCGACGATACGGATGTCTCCTCCTTCCTTCTGCGTCGAAGACGTTTGTCCAGCCACTTCCAGCGTCACACTCTTGCTCTCTTCTGCATTACTTGCTGACTCCAACGCCCGCGCACCATCGTCTTTATCACTGTAACCAGTGGCATCAGGCACTGAAATGCGCACTGTCTTGCTCGTAGAAGAGCCCACGAAAACTGTACTCGTATCAAGGTGAAGCGGTTCAGACGTAGACAAAGTCGACGAGTTGTCAGCGTGCGTTATCGTCAAACCGTTGCTAATGCTGATGCGTCCACGGGTGCCATCCAGCGTTATACCAGTTGACGTAGGCTCATCCGAGTCGGTATCGGCAACAGTTACCGTTCCAGCTGGATCAACAAACAGCACAGACTTGCCTCCAGCGCTCGCGACGATAGCTCCTGTTTTTGACACGAGATTTAGGTCACCCTGCTCCTTCACACCGCCAGAACTGTTGGCAGCTGTGGTCATGACGGTCCCGTCATCGAATATCACGCCTTTCCTGGCACTTAAATAATCAGCCTCGACCATGGGGGCTATCACAAAATGTCAGTCACAGCAGTAAAGTGCCTATTATCAGATCTACTTACATTCCACTCGGTTCGTGAACAACGTCGTGCCGTTAGAGAAGAACGTGACCCCGTAGAACGTCTGTAGATCCTTCGCCTCCAGCGCACGGCGCCCAATCTTCAGCTCTCCGTCATCAAAAGCGATCATGCCTTCCGAATACACCGAATTGGAGTATCCTACGCAGCATGCACATACAAACTCTCAGTCGTTACGTCACAGCCTCCACCTTCCTCATCTCCACCGTACCGCTCTTTAAGAAAATCTCTGCATTGTCTTCTGCCACTACTGTAAACCTGTTATCCACGGTCGTTCCAAAAAGATCGTTTTGATGGGACTCGAAGAAATCCGTTTGCGTCAAGTAAATAGTAATGCAGCTCATGAGTGCAAAGCTCAGCACCGTGAGCACTCCGATGGCCGTCCAGAACACGTCGTAGTCCTCTTGCTTGCGTCTCCTGAGCGTAATTCGCTGCAGAATCCCTCCACTAGATCTATATCGAAAGCTACGGCCATCCGCGTCCGAGTGGAAGAAGCCTCGTCGTCCTCGCAGCCTGCGCAGCCGCTGCACCCCGGCACTAGCCATGTGACTGGACAAGTCGCCGTCCTCGTCGTCCAGCATCAAGTGGTCAGTACGCAGATCGTCGCCGGGCGACTCCATGGGGATGGCCTGACGCCTGCGACGGTACGCATGCTCCTCGCCCTCTGTGGACTGCGTGTCATCATTATCATCGTCCTGATCTTCGTTTTCCTCGCTGCGGCGCTGTTCAGCGTTATTATAGTGGCCAACCTCGTCTGCTCCGTCGAGAGTTAGTGCACGCCGTCCGCGGCCTTCAAAGAGTGCGGGGCCGCTGCCCACGTCGATCACCTCGTGGTCCTTAGGAGACGAGGCCATGCCGCCGCTCTCAAGTTTTTGAGTCTCACTTCAGGTATAGAGTGACGTCAAATTGTGAACACGCAGATAAAGTAGTCGGTCGTAGTAGCGTTTGGAAACGCTACCGATGTTTTTCATGTGGATTACCGGTACACTCATTTCCGCCGATGCGTCTCATAAATTACAAAAGACGCCGCATGATGCGGCTTGCAGCTTTTTGGTCATTTTGCATTTTGCCACTTTGGAGTGATGGTAGATAACTACATTCTGTACTCGTATTGGCGTAGCAGCTGCTCGTGGCGTGTGCGGATCTCGCTCGAGTGGAAGGACATCCCGTACGAGTATCGAGCTGTGCACCTGCTGAATGGCGGTGGTGAGCACTTCAAGGACGAGTACACGACGCTCAATCCGAACCAGCGTCTACCAACACTCGTCGTGGATGGCCACGTACTGCCACAATCTGCTGCTATCCTCGAGTTCCTAGAGGAGACGCATCCAGAAAAGCCACTTCTGCCCAGCGATCCGTTCGCTCGCGCCCAAGTCCGCAATCTTTGTGCCATTATCGGCTGTGACATCCAGCCGATCCAGAATTTGACGGTGCAAGTCAAGGCGACAGAGGAAGTACCTGAGGACCAGCGAGGCGCCAAGAAACAGGCGTGGGGGAAATTCTGGATTGACCGAGGCTTTGAAGCGCTGGAGCGCGAACTGGCCAAGACTGCGGCCGCGTACTGCTTCGGAGACGAGATCACGCTAGCAGATCTGTATCTGCAGCCGCAAGTGTACAACGCTAACCGTGTCGGTGTGGACATGACCAAGTACCCGATTATTTCTCGCATCTCCGCGAGTCTGGAGACCTTGCCAGCTTTCCAGAAAGCCCATCCGTCCCAACAACCGGATGCAGTCAACTAAAACCTGCAAGAAATTGCTCTAAGCTTATTGCAGAAGAGCTTTATTTGGCAGACATCGCCAATATTATTGAGTTTGCTTAAAGGAGCGGAGCTTCTCCTTGACTGCTTTCAGATGTTTTTTAATTGTCCGGACTTGGCGTTTGTCCACGTCACAACGAGCTTTCTCTAATGTCAGTGCGACTTCCACCTCCTTCTTCAACTTGACATATTGCTCCTGCGATAAGTTGGCTCCGAAGGGTGAACTCAACAGTCGATCAGCGTCAACGCCGTCTCGAAGCGCACGAAGTGTGTTCGCAAAGTCGTGAATGCAGCGCTGGCGACGATAGTTGAACCACGGCTCGAAGTGAGGGCCCTTTACGAACGCCGTGTACAGAGCTTTCCACTTGCCTTGCTTGATCTGTGGAGGAAGCTTCCGTGGCTTGATACTTGACAGTAATCCCGGTAGACTGAAAGGCTTCATGTAGTCCTCAGCACTCATGTACAGATTTGACCGCCTGCCGCTTGCTTTCCAAATACCGAAATATTGCTCAAACGGGTGCAAGAAATCCTTCGTGAGCTTTCGGAAATGCTGAGAATATCAACGTTGGTTAGAAGATTACAACGACGCTCACGTAGATCGACCCGTACCTTCCGGAGAACTGCATTGTTGATCGTGACGTATGGCTCTTCTTCGTGGCTGGTTGTCTGAAGGATGCGAACTTCTGGAGGAGATACGAGCTGCTGAAGAACAGTGGCATCTGGGGTCATATAGCGTGGGCAACGCCTCAGAAGCTATTAAACCAATGTCAGTACATACACTTTGAGGATAATTTGCTATCATCCCTCACCATGGGACGATGACTGTTTTCGAAATCATCCAGCTCCACGTTCTTCTGGATGCGAAGACAAATAGTGCCCGTTTCTTCCGCTTCGACATGTTCAGATCGTGTGGCACCTATGTTATGCAACAAACAATTGCTGGTCAGGACAAATAAAATGAAGCAACGAATAGCAGAAACCTCTTTTACCTTTTGCGAGTTGTGCTTTAGCGCTCGGAGGTTCTAGGAATGGAAAAATAAGAGCGTTCGGCCAGTGACTAAGCGACTAGGCAGACATTCAAAGGTTAGTGTGTTCTATCGCTCAAAGGCCAACATGAGTCTGTACAGTACATACCTTCATAAAGAACGGGTTTGTGGTTCCGATGATAGTCACGTCTTTCAAGTTACTGACGCCGTTGTTCTGTCTACTTGAGAGCGTCTGTTCGATGCATAAATGAGCATAATTGTACACCTTTAGTGTCGAATTGAGCTAATAAACCGTGAAGTTGATGAAACTTACGTCAAAGTCGGCTTCATACACTGTAAAGTATGGTCGACAATCACCATGGAACTGGAGTGGGGCAATTAAACTGGCAAAAAGCAATGACAGATTAGTGCGCGTTAATGAAATTGTACCAGAAACGACAGCCAAACCTGGTAAATGCAAGTACAGCTTGACTGCACGTTCTGGCGTGAGGGGATAGAATCAGAAAGCTCTCTCCGGTAATGGCAAGCTGCCACAGAAGCCACAATGTTTCTTCAAGTCCCAAAAAACTGGAGTATAGTCCAATGTTCTGCAAAACACAGGTGAGTCATCCAGCTCGAGTAAGAGCTAGCGAGTCGTGCGCACCTCAAAGGGAGTCAATTGGTGTGTCCGCTTTGAAAGAAGAAGATCTGCAAAAGATGGAGACGGAGGATGTTGTCTCCGCGACACCACAAAATTTCCTTCTTTCACTAGCACAGTCTCCTCGGTATCTTCCTCTTCGCCATCGTCCTCCTCGTCTAAAGCACTGAAATCTGGTACATCTGTGGCGTCATCGTCTCCCTCGACAATAAAATGCGAGTGCACGGGTGACTCTGCGTCAGACTCGTATGCCGAATCGAGATGCTCATAGTCGAGCAGCTTCGGGATGATGCACGAGATGTAAGTGCCAGCAAGTGGCAATACCACGGGAGTATCATGCACAAGATCAGGCCTGTAGTGCACAATATGCCGTTTAGAGTTAGCGCTAGTACTTCGGCTTAACAATAAGTACTTCTAGCGATGCGTACCATGACTTGATATTGTTGTAGACCGCCACCAAGACTTGCGGACCGGCCTTAAAGAAGAGCGGACCAACCACCCGTAGCACACGGTCGTATAGATCGACGTAAGGTTTGGTGCTTACTAGCACTAGCGCCTTCTGGAAGTAGCCGCGAGTGCGAGACTCATCCTTTTGCTGGCGGAAAAGCACAAAGCCGAATAGCAGATCTTGGCTGTTGTCATTACGTTCCCAGTTAGACGGAATATACATCCCTCATAGCGCACGAACAGGTTGCAACGGACTCATCAGGGTCGTCTCCGAAGCGCACAATGAATTGCGTATCGCCTTCGTCCTGGTTGTTGCAGTGAGGCAGGGACAGGTGCGCCAGACTCGTTTTAGCAGCCTCAGAGAGACCACAAGCTGGAGGATGAAGCGCGTCTAGCTTCTGCCCCGAGTCAATGTCGAACACAACGGTGGCGAGTACCCGTAGACCGTAGGTGGAAGCGAGATCATGGTCGTGCAGCTCAGTGTTCATCCTAACGGCTGTGAAGGCATCTGATTGGCTAACCTTATTGCGAAAACCGCTAAATTGAGGGTTCCCTTAATTTCTTACAGAACTGAAACCTTTCAGCTCTTTAAAAAATTGGACCAAGGCTTTCGCAGGGAAAGCAAAGATTCACAGCTCAGCGTTTCGGTGACGTAAGTACAGTACAGTACACGCATGTAACGGGCACCAGAACCGTAGCAAATGCTTTACATGTACAGTACCAACATGGAACTTCGGACTCGTGAGTTACACGTGCTCTAAAAAAGCTCTTCGTCCGACACAAATCACTTTTGGGTAGAATGATTTATTGAGCAAAAGTTCCATTCCGCTGAAATATTTCCTGAATAATACCTGAAGATTCTATCACTTCGATAATCTGCGCTGATCGAGCTTTTCATCGAAAAAAAATCGACGAAAATGCGAATAAAGCACACTTCAACTTACACATGATTGGCCATAATCTATAGCTCAATTTACAATTCTAGCCTCATCTCGAATTGGCCTTGTGGTTGAAAAGCATCGCCATGCTCGGAAGATGGAGACTGAGCGCCGTGCCGACAGCGCGGCGCATCTCATGGACTTCTCCGTCACGCCAACTACAGCGCGCAGTATCTACCAAAATCCTTTCTCGTCGCTCCACCATTCGCGACGCGCGGGAACAAGACAGTGGCTCGCGTGTCGCTGTTGGTGGCTGGGTCAAGTCTGTGCGCAAACACAAGTCCGTAAGCTTCGTGAATGTCAACGACGGCTCTTGTCTGGGCGAGCTACAGATCACACTACCATCTGCGGAGGCCGAGGGAGCTTCGGACGGGCCTCTTGCCAAGATCGCTGACATTACAGTCGGATCCAGCGTCTTCGCGGAAGGTGAGCTACGCGAAGTTCCCGGCGGCAAGCAGAGACGCCTGGAGCTACATCCCAGCAAACTCAAGATTCTTGGCAAATGCGACACACAGGCATACCCACTGCAGAAGAAGTACCACTCGCTCGAGTTTCTACGTGAGAAGCTCCACTTGCGCGCACGCACCAACACCTTTGGCGCCGTCACTCGCGTTCGCAACGCTCTCGGGTAAAATAACGATGGCTTGCAGATGAATTGGATAATAGTCGATAGTACTAATTATTGTGAGCTTTATTTGGTCATGTTTGCTAGCCAAGGACTGCACTCGTACTTCCAGGAGAATGACTTTTTGCACCTACACAGTCCCATCCTGACTTCGAACGACTGTGAGGGTGCCGGCGAGATGTTCCGTATCGCCAAAATCGGTAAGTGTTGCATGCAGTTGATGCTCTTGACGTTCGTTCGTGTAGCTAAGAGCTAATACTTTGATCTCTTCACTACCATGCAGATGGGAAGGACGAGGAGTTCTTTGGCACGCCGACGTACTTAACGGTGTCCGGCCAGCTTCATGCTGAGATGTATGCCTCCGCTCTGAGCAAAGTGTACACCTTTGGCCCCACCTTCCGTGCGGAAAACAGCAACACTACTCGTCATCTGGCAGAGTTCTGGATGGTCGAGCCTGAGATGGCATTCGCGGGGCTTGAGGAGTGCGTTGCCTCAGCCCAGGGTGCTGTCCAGCGCTCTGTGTCCCATGCATTGAACACTTGTGCCGAAGACATCGCGTTCTTCAACAAGAATTACGACAAGAAAATTGCCGAACGTCTTCAACGTGTGGTAGAAAAAGAATTTGCCCGCTTAACCTACACGGAAGCTATCGCCGTTCTTCAAAAGGCAGTGGCAGAAGGCAAGGGCAAGGTGATCTTTGAAAAGAAACCTGAGTGGGGGATGGATCTGCAGACAGAGCACGAGCGGTTCCTAGCTGAAAAATACGTTGGCGGCCCTGTCTTCGTGACGGACTACCCTGCAGATATCAAGGCATTTTACATGCGTAAGAATGCCCCTGATGAGCAGAACCGCGAGACCGTGGCTGGTATGGACTTGCTGGTGCCGAAGATCGGTGAACTCGTTGGCGGTAGTGTTCGCGAAGAGCGTTTCGAGGTACTGGAGAAGAAAATGCGTCATCTTGGTTTGCTCCCTGAAGAGGATCTCGATGAAGACGCGATCGCTTCTGCTGGTGGCGATCTGGACTGGTACTTAGACTTGCGCCGCTTCGGTTCAGTACCTCATGCTGGTTGGGGCCTTGGCTTCGAGCGACTTGTGCTGTTCGCCACAGGCATGGATAACATCCGCGATGTGATTCCATTGCCTCGCTTCCCTGGCCAGTGCAAACACTAGAGAACTGCGTGAATGTGAAAAAAAAAGAACAGTTCGTGCACAAGAAGTAACTACATTTTCATTGTGTACACGTGTGGTAGCTGATAAATTTTGCACATTTCGTCTTGTTTTGGTTGGTCTTTGTACACGGATGTCCGTCGATTGTTGTTGTCGCGTGCTATCCTTCTGCTTTATTTGATCCCATGTATCGTGTCTCCCCGTTATATATCCCGTGCTCCGAGCCAGCTACTGTTGCATTGCACTTGACGTGAGTTCTCTCTGCATTCTCGAATTGCTTCACTGAGGAAATAGCTTGCCCAGCAGGTCCCGATTGATCTCGAAAAGCTTGTTCTTGTCCTCTAGGAGCACCGCGTTTTCCTGTTGAAGTGCCTTGCGTTCGCCTTGCAGAGTATTTACCTCTCGCTGCTTCGTGTCTAGCAGGTGCCTGAGCGCTTCATTCTCCTCTGCGACGAACTTCAGTTGAGCCTGGAGACGATTGGTATACAAACTGTTGCCCAGCAAATAGTTGTGTAGTGACGCCAAGTTCTCGTTCTGGTCGTCCCCTTGCTCTAGCAGTGTGCCCACGTGTTTTCCTTCGCTTGAAGGCGTCCGTGACTTCTTGATACGAAGAAGAATATTCACCGGATCGTTAAAAGAGTTCGAGAAAACAGGACTTTGGCCAGGATTCAGTTCAGCTCGTGTGATGCCCAGGGACTGCGCCAGACTCTCAGGTCGGTTCTCCATCCCAGGAGCAACTACGCCGTGATGTCCGTTAGGGGCTGCGAGTCCAGAGAACCCGTTGTAGTCGTAGTGTTGCTGTTGAAGGACTAGTTGTTGTTGCTCCGGACCACCAGCCTGCTGTCTCTGAATAAGGCGGCTGCGCACGATGTTTAGCGTCGGTAGTGCCCCCATCGAAGAAGGTGTTACAGCTGCAGAGTAAGCATTATCCGAGCTTGTGTGGCTGCTGATACCAACCGACATCGACGAGGACGGCACGAATCCAGTGACGGTCATGGATGGTACAGTCGAGGGGGTCAAGAGGGAGGTAGATAGCTCGCTCGGTTGCACTAGTGAGGCTTGTATAGTAGCACTAGACACGTAGTCCTTCTTGCCGAGTTTCTTGGCTTTCTTCTTGCATTCAGTGGGTGCCACAGGCGAAATAACGTTGTTCAGTTCGGGTAGATACTGACGCGTCAGTCCATCTTGTGAGAAGCCCAAAGCTACGTTGGAGGAAGCGCCATGAGGCGTCGTCATGGCACCAAGTGGCATCCCGTTGATAGCAGGCTGGATAGGGACAGTTGATGAGTTCATCTGTATGTGCATCCCCGTACTCTGAGTGGGAAAGCCTTCTGAGGTTCCTTCATCTGCTGGAAGCTTCCGCTTACCACAGGGTGATAATTTCTTGGACGTCGATGTCGCAGATGTAGTCGTGGTGCCACTGGTTGGCGTGCTGCTCGCTCCACTGGCGGGCGTTCGTCGTGGGGCTTTCTTGCGCTTAATATGATGCAGCAATTCAGGCTGATTCTCTCGGAAGAATGGATGACTAAAGGTGCAAATGTCCGTCTTGGATTTGGTCCATTTGCGGAAGCCAAAGTAATTGAGTTGGCGCTGGAAGCTGTGAAAGTTGGTGTGGTTAAAGTACTTGGGCAGGATCTGCTCCGTGACGGTCACAGGGTCCAGAATCTGTAGCGCCAGACCGTCCTCGGACCATCGAATCACGCGGGAGCTCTCCACCTCCAAGATCTCATACAGCAGCAGCAAGAACTTGGGAGCCTCAGGCTTGGCGCGCTTGCCACCTTCCTTGATGGTAGCCATATTCCACCCATTTTGAGGCGACTGCTGCTGCGTCCCCTGTGGCGACACATTCGTGAGGTCGCTTGCTCTGGCAGATGGGCGCATCTTGGAGGCTGCGCGCTTCACAGTTCCTGCGGCGCCCACCACCCGGGGCAGCGCATCCGTCAGGGCCTCCTGCTTCATGCCGATACGTTGCGTGATAGGGTCCATGGTGAGAGTCACTTGCGCCACCATTGACGTCTTATCCTCACTTCTCGGAGCGTTCGAATGTGTGCTAGAAAAAAGAACTGCGCTTGCGATGGCTGCTTCAGCGGTCGCGCGCGCAATCTTCTCCAAAGATCGAAGGAAAAAAGGCGCCGCGTTGAGAGAGCCTTGCTGGAGCAGTTCGCACACAACAGCAACAGCGCTTGACGTGTACGCGCCTAGTCAGCCTCAGTGGAACCAGCCAAACCGCCAGTCGATTGCGGGGCTTCGACGAATCTTGGCGAGTGGGGGATCAGTGGCTTGAGCTTGAGGTTTCTTTTATTTTTGCTTCTCTTTTTCACATCGGTTTGATTCTGTACGATATCCACAATGATTTGCATAAAAAAACTCAGACTCGCGATGCAAAATGTTCGATGCAACAAGAGGCACTGCTACTAGAAAAGAACACAGCGCTTAGCGCAGTGTAGTGAGCACTACTACATTTGAGCAGTACTTCATATAGAGCAACACCGTGTCGACGCTGGACAGCTTAGCTCCTAAGACAGCAGCAGCTTTGCTCGCGAATCATTGTCGAGACAATTATGTACCGTTTGTGTCAGGCTTTAGAAGATTCCCGGAAGGTTTTCTGGAAGGATCAGTATTTTATTGGCCCATTTCTAAAAATTGCGTCCATTTCGAGTCGATTTCGATCTAATTGTGGTGAGTGCACCACATTTTGGCTTTAAAAAATATTTTTATTTTTACTTTAAGATCTTAAAGGGTTAAGCTAATTGTACCACAGACGTTTTTCGAGTGCAAAATGTGCATGAGAGGGCGACACGGTGAAAAGACAATGACGAGGATACACCAGAATGTAAAGTAGAATAGCCTTCAAGGCAGTATTTTGCTGACGGACTAAGCTCTCAACAAAATATTTACTGCCCATTCCATTGCTTTAATCGAATTTAAACTATTGTCCTATACAGTACCAGCTTCGCAATCGATTTATTGAGTCCATTGCGACCCACAGCCGCCACATCCACAGCCAGATATAAGTGAATTTCCTTAGCGCGCGACAAGGTCGCTGGAGCGGTAAAGGCTGAAAAGCTTTCATTTAAGGGCGCTACAACTAACGGTTTGATAGTTTAATCGGTAATTTAGAGTAAATTAAAAATTGGTTTCGCGATTGGCCAAAAATGCCCATGTAGCGATGATGCGGGTTATATAAGCAAACGAACACAGCAAAGTTACATGATATATGATACTGGTACATGGTATCAGGCTCGTCAGAGGCCAACCACTAGCTAATGACATAGCTTCACTATAGAGAGCTTATAGTTTGTAAATCTTACCCCCCTCGTGGAGTGTGCTCTGTGCCTTTCGTCCGCGGCTAGGGCTCTAAAATGTAACGCAAATACGCGCGGTCTACTGGCTGCCGAGCGCAGCGAAGGCGGCCTCGATTCGCTAAAATTGCAATATGTGGTGTACATATAAAATGTGGACTACACATTGTTCTAAAATGCACCGCTTAAATTTCATTTTGCCCTCTTTCTCAGCTGCGCTTTGCGAGGCCACGCATAAGGCGCTGCCTGTGTGCGCGTTAATTAGCATAATTAAAAGAAGCCGATGAGTACACGCGTACTATATCGTCGTAGGAGCTGTTGAAAAAAATGTAGGCTTATTTCGACCTCAATTGAAACTTTAGTACTTTTTTTTAGAATGATGTTTTAGGCTTCGTAGTACTTTCTAATAATTACACTTACAATTTTATTTTTGCGTAGTACTATTCTAAATAATTCTCATATTTTTGCTTACAATTATTTGTAGTAGTAGTAGTACACATATATTTTTTTTCAGCGTTAGATCACCCGGGAAAAAGTATCATCTTCTTTTGTAGTATAGTGCGACCTTGAGATATTGTGCAAGCTTTCCAACATATATATGTAGCGTACATAAAAATGGAAACGGCGTTTGTGATTAAGTTAGCGCGGAGGCACGTGACTAAGCAAGAACACGAAAACGAAATAGCACCGACCCACACTATGTAGACGATGGGATAGAAGAGCAACATGAAACACTGAAGGCCATGGACGATGATAGAAGACTTAGCCGATGCAAACCACAAAGGTTTATGAGTAGCGTGAAAGATGGAAGAGCACGCAGCCATGAAAAGGACAAAAGGACAAGAATATGACGGGAGCGTACGGGCCACGGAAGGGAGCTAAATACATAGACATCTCAGCATGCTGAAAAACACGGCTACGGAAGAGCACGCACGCTCGAGGCCACGGTAGAACACGTAACGGTAAGAGTACACGGACAGAAATTCTTCCATAGCACCACGGCTAAACACGGAGCGCAGTCGACCGACCAAACATGAAGCCGCAGAAGACCATTACCGGGAGGCTGTCGAGTATTGAAACACGATACCAGGGTAGAGCCGGAGCTCACTGAGAAACGCGATACTACTGTAGATAGCGAAAGCTTGGACGACAGACCATCCGCGACACCAAGAGATAGCACGATAGCATGGACGATGGGACAGCCACTAAAACATGGGAGAACAAGCAGCCACGGGAAATCACCGAGCCACTGAGCACGATAGCACTATAGAACCTGAGATCGCCGGGCCACTGAGGACGATACTTCATTAAAACACGTTTACCCGGACGGCCGACCGGCCACAAAATCGCGGGGAAACGCTTCTGGAGACGACGATTGCACACCGCGGAACACGGAACCATCGTAGAACGGGATAACATTGGCAAAACATATATACTATGCGATCACGATAGCATAGACAGCATAATCACATTGCGATTGCACGATAGCGCGATAACGCGGAACCACGGGGGTGCGCGACACACAGGTGACAGAAAACTTCGGAAGATCACCCATTGACGAGGGTACCAGAAATGGAACGCTATCGACCATGAATGATTATGGACACGAAGCCTGTGGAACCCACGTAAACCCTTGAGAACACGGAATATCTAGCAGCCACGAAAGAGGGTCGTACTACGGGAGCGCATGAGACCAAAGGAGCTAGCGCACAACCACTAAGCACTGTGAGAGAATGAGTTCACAAATCCAGGACAATCACTAAGCAGCGTGGGCCACGGGTGAGCAGGGAGCCACAAAGCCAGGAAGATCACGGAAGAGCGACGGCCACTGTAGAACATGACATCCAACCTGTAGTACGGGGTAATGGAAGCGTACCAAACAACGATATTATACGGGTCCACATGAGACTACGGAATGGTAAGTGGTTAAGTACACGAAGCCAAGACCTACTGGGGTGAACGACGCTAACAAAGTACGCGACACCAAGAAGCACTTAAATTTGCGGCCACCGCATCTCCAACAAACCATGCCACTCCGCCGCGTAGCGGCGGCGAACGGCTAGTCTTACCCCTCTAGTGGAGTGTGGTCTGCGTCTGTCAGTCCGTCCGAGGGTAGGGTTAATAAAGGGGGACGCAAATGCGGGCGTTCTACTGGCTGCCGAGCGCAATGAAGGCGGCCCCAATTGGCTAAAATGCTGCCGAGCGCAGCGAAGGCGGCCCCCATTGGCTAAAACATAATTATGTTTTTGACACATGTATGTGGACTACACATCGTACTTAAAAGCACCGCTCAAATTTGATTTTGCCCCCATTTTCGAAACGAAAGCCGCGGAACGCCACGTTACTCAAGGTACGCTGCGTGTATGCATGTTACTTTGCATTAGTAGCTAGCAAGACACACATACACAGATAGTCCGAGGTTCCTGGGGCTGCTTAGGGGGTAGCTTATAACTTGCGGGATTTTATCCTGCAAGTAGGTAGCCGTGCTATGGGGATTTAGTTCCAGAGCCCTCTGGGCTCTTGGGGCTTTATCCCACCGCCCACTCTGCGCGAGAGCACATTTGGCACCTGGTCCATTGACCACAAACCCGACAGCGAACCAGTTGAGCCGGTCGTTAATGGTTATTGATGGGCACGCACATTGTGTGCGTGCAGTTGGTCAGGAGGGGTACCGTAACTGGCCTCTTTTAACCGACAGATGGGATGGGGGCTGTAATAGCCTGTCAATAACCAGCCTTTGCAATTAACGGCCGCCTTTTGGCAAAAGGATATCGCACCTCAAGCTACATTACTATCCAGGGGCCCAACTCTGAAGATTCGACTGCACAATTTGCAAACTAAAACCGCTCCGGGCCTCACGGCCCGTGACTGTGGGATAAGTGATCGGAGATAACCTTGATGGGGGCAAGCAATCCCGGGTAGTACGCATATTCCAACACACTACTCGATGAAAACCTACTGCTACGTGCGGTGTACTTAGACATTGTCTAACGCGTCACGTTTACGTGTTTGCAGAATTATGGCTCGGACTAAGCGGAAGAGGACCCGCGAGGAGCTTGAGGAGGCACTGCGCGAGAGCGAATGCATAAACGCAGCACCCGCGCAAGAGGAGAAGAATGCAAGGAAACGACGTCAGGATAAACGAAGAAGAAAGCGTTACGACTTAAGCAAAGAGCTGAGAGCGCTCAGCGTGCACCAAGAAGAACATGGTTTTACGGAAGGTCGAACGGTACCAACAGCTGAACGAGAGGAGAAGACAGAAGATTCGGATCCAGTGGAACATCAGCGGCGGTTTGAGGATGCCATGGATGCTGCGTATCAAGCTGGAGCCGATACTGTGGCTTAATTTACTGTGCCGGTCGTATCGGAACCAACGGTTCAAGAAGATGTCCCGGTCTCGGCTGCGCGGCGGGCTCGCGAGAAAAGATCTAACCGGTCGCTGTCACAGGCAGATCGCGAGCGTACACGCGACGCACAGAGAGCTCGCACAAGACGAGCTAATATGTCACTCTCGCAACGTGATCGTGCGAGGAAGAAAGACGCTGACCGTAAGCGCGCCCGAAGAGCCCGGCTGCGTGGAGAAGAGCTTCAGGAACATCGGGAGCAAAATAGACAGCAGCAAACAGCACACAGAGCGGGGATGAGCCAACCGGAGAGGGAGGCTGAGCGCGAGCTAGATCGCCAGCAACATGCGGAGCAGCGAGCCCAGCTTTCGAGACAACAACGGGAAGCTATACGTGAGGTACACCGTCAATAGGAAGCGGATCGGCGATCTCGGCAGACACCAGAAGAGCACCAGCAAGATCTAGAGTGAGTGCGTACTAGACGCCAATGCGTCCGTCATGGACATGCTCTTATTTCCCTCGCAGACTTCGATGCGTCCATGGTAACGGGCTACGACGTGGTGAGCGGCCGGCACAAGCTTCC